TTTGCGTCTTAAAATTCGCTTGCAACTAAATCATTAAATGTTACTTTTTGGGGGCATTTCATTTTCTTGGAATTGAATTTTGTTTTCAGGGGTCATTGAATTTAAGTGTAATAAATAAATAAATAAATAAATAAATAAATAAATAAATAAATAAATAAATAAATAAGATATCATCACCATGGGGAGGGGATCGATGATAACTTCCTCAATGGCTCAAGGGGGCGTTTCTTTCAAAAAGGTTAAGAACCACTGGTCTACGTAAAGGACGGGCCATATTCAGGCCAGTACCACATTACAAATCCAGTGGGCAGAAAGCAGTATTATCTGGTTCAGAATAAGGAACCGAATTCACACAATTAATGATAATGAGTTACAAGGTAGAAACTCAAATCACAATAGATTCAAAGCACAGGTGATAGGACCTTGGTTAACTGCATCAATCCGGAAAAGCAAATGAACAAGTAAACTCAGTATTTATAATATCTCAAATTTGTCCCTCTTTTATAAAGGCGTTTACATCCTAATATATTTTGTACTAAAATAATGTGAATTTATTGTGTAGTAGGCATAGAACTTTATCTTTCTGAAGCAAAGCCAGTAGCCTCAACATATGAATGTATTTGAAACAGGAGATGATTTTGTCATATACGTAGAGTGAGCAACTGGAAAACCTTCAGCTAATTTCCTTATTCAAAAGAAGGTACTTGTTTGGAAGTTACTTTTCCAACAAAATATAAATCAGTGTTTTATTACCGATTGATAGTTACCTGTTACTTCTTTCATCACAAAATTTGGTTCTCAGCTTCTGGGCCAGATGATCTACTAAGTCAGATTCTAAAATTCTTTTCTCTGTGTGTCTTTCCTTCTCAAATGATTTCACCTATAAAAACAAAAATCAAACGTTTGAATTTCCCTTAAGAATAACATTAATACAAATAAAATGTTAAAATGCAGAAACAGGTATAAACCAGCTGAATCATTTTTAAAACACAAGCATACTCTCATTGTGTATCAATTATCTGATATGCAACAGACTGAATTTTGGGTTTGTGGAAGGCATGCAAGATCTTTTTCAATAATCAAGCTGCATCCTGGTTGCACTTGTATGATACTTCTTAAATCCCCCTTTCCTCGGTTGTCTAGTGGATAGGTGAGAAAAAGAAACAGGATTGCAAGAAAAATCTTGTTTGCTAACATAAATACTCTACCCATATATCCCTCACACCAAGCACAGGAAAGAAAGCACAACTATCTAAACAACTAAAACACAGACATCATCGTTGCCGCATTTTGGCTTGGACCCAGAATGCCCCATGCATAAACACAGTCTCCTGATTTCTTCCAATTCCCTCCCATTACTGTGGATACATGCTACATCATTCTGATCCTCTGACCTTCAGTATCGCCCAATGGAGGGCTACACTGGGGCATTTTGGACATGAAAGTTGCATTGCACAAGTGAGGTTCTACTTGTATGATCTAGCTCACTGGTTTCCAAGCATAACGGGGCAACAGTAGGCTGCCCAGCTGCTTTACCCCCTTTCCCAAAAATAAAATAACATAAATCAAATCTGTGCATTTATTTAGTACTGTAAATTCAGTTATTTAATACATCACATCCTATTTGTCTTCTCTCTTGGAAAGCAGCTACATCATATGCCCCACACTGTGCTTTGCAGAGCACTGCATGAATGGCAGAAGTGAGCAAACAAAGCAGAGGCACAAATGAGGAAAGGCAATATGGAAAGATGGAACCCAAAGACATTACCTTCACATGATTTCCTTCCTTATCAGAAATAAGGGCTACGTAGGTGATTCCAGAACATCTGCAATATTCTTGTAACTCCTCCTGGGACTAAAAGAGTTGCAAATTATACAATGAGAAAAAGTAAAAATTAGCTTAGAAAGACATACAAAAGATCAGTGTGACCCCTGAAGTACTTTCACCTAAACTTGGTTAAATATTAAGAGCAAAACTTGAAGACAATACACTATCAAGCTGGTCTGATTTAAACGAGACTCCTGCATATGTGGGTAAATACACGGAAGTCTACTCTTTCTCAAGTAGTTCAGCAAGTATTCCAAAAGTGCAGGAAGTTTTCATAGCAAGTTCTTTCAATGTTGTAGTAAAGTCCTATTGCTTTTATAAGGAACATGTATGAGAAGCTACCTTAAAGGAATGTTTGTGGTACTTGCCCATTTTATCATACAGAGACACTTGGGTCTCTGTCGGCCAGTTAAGTATCCAGAATGAAACTAAATTTCCTCTTTTCCCCCCGTACACCATGAAACAGAATCTAGTTTTTCCAAGATAAAGATGGATTGCACGGCCCTTCTAAGCACCATATTCACCAGTGACATGCTGTGTACAACCTCATGGTTTTGAAGAGCAGTGGACTGTTTACAGCTGTGTGGACATTCACAGGCAGAGGTAGGGGGAGTTATGTCTGTGTGTGAGTATGTCTGTGCATGTGCGAGAGAGTGCAAATTCTAGTCACTTCTAAAAAGATTTCTAATGCAAAACAAATACAAAAACCAGGCATGTCTGTGTGGGATAAATCTCTGATCAGTGAGTACCCAAGGCATTCTGGCAATTGAGGTAAATAATCTTTACTTCCCTTCATGGCGGGGAATTAACGATTTCCCATCAGATGAAAATGTGGTGTCCTTTAATGATAATCTGTATCTGCCACCAAATTTCACCTCACTCTGCCTGATGGCAATCATAACCGTATCTGTGTTTTTCATGCTGAGGCTCTTGGAAAGAGAAGCCCATAAATCAGACCACGAGCAAAATAGAGAACAGAAAGATGACTTGCCTGGGACCAGTCATACATGATTTCAGCTGCAATTCCTGCATTCCAGAGTTTCTGTGCAACCCCGACAGCCCTGGCCATTGAAATCTGGCCAACACTAACAACTAACAGGTCACAAGAACTCACTGTGATCTAGGACACAAGAAGGGGGTGAGGGGCAGGAGGAACAAAAAGTTAAGAGTCTGGAAAATCTTTGCCAAAACCATTATTCTCAAAATTTATTAAATCACTGCAGCAAATAATTTCTCTAGCATTGTCAAAGCCTCCTCAATATTTTTCCACGATGTTTGCTAATAATATTCTTTATTTAAATTAATAAAGAAAAAAGATACAAAAAGAAAATACAGTATAATACAAAAATGCCAACTTGTTGTTTTTTTTAAAAAAAAGGAAACTTGGTAAACACAAAACAAAAAAAACATAACCTATACAATTACAATATTTGTTTTATTTATTTATTTATTTAATTTATATCCCACCTATCTGAATCACATAGGACCACTCCTCTACCAAGACCATTAGAGATATATTTAGGAAGCCTCTCTCCCCTTCCAAAACTCCACTCAAGTCTTGAGAAGGTGTGCAACCCTTCCCTTTTATTAATATATACACAGTAAGAACTTCCCAAATATCACATTTTTAAAAAATTTGTCAGTCCCTTTTTAACCCAAATATAACAAGTTATCATTAATAGCTATATGCCAAATTTCTTTATACCAATCACTTAACTGTCAATCATATTTCCATTTTTTTTTGCTATCATTAATCCTGCAGCTGTTGTTGACTAATAGTATTAACTGGTATTATTTTACTTGGGTTGCATAAAATATGCGTTTAGAACTGTTTTATCTGAGATGGGATGGAGGACACCCCACAGTAATTACAGAAGCGAGGTTGAAGCATAATTATTTGCAGAAACCTCTTTTACTTTTTTTCCTTAGAAATATTGTATACAGATTTATATTTCACACAGTGTGAACCAGATAGGCCTTGCATTTGTCCCCATTGTTTGTACAATTCCTATACTACAATGAAAATAATGAGTGAAACAAGTTTTACCAATCTAAACGGTATTTGCCTTTTTTCATATGATATAGGAAATCTAACTCTGTATTTCATGAGCTTTGTAACTCGTATATTGAGTATATCAGAAATTGGTTCAACTATAAAAACAAGAAAAATAAACCTACTGGCTCTTCCATATTCAAAACTGCTGAACTTATTCTGTCTATAGCTATGCTGACTCCAACGGCCGAGGGAAGCAGGCCAGCCGCTTGTGGGCCTTTGAACTGTAGAACCTAAGGAGACAAGAAGCAGAGATACTCAAGGAAAATATCAGTAATGACATCTTTTCACTACAGTATATACAAAAATACAAATAGGCAACACTCACCAAATGATCATATCTGCCACCTGCAGCAAGAATGTCAGTAACCGTTCTTTGCCTGCGTTTAATATATGCAATAAATTGAAATATAATGCCACTGTGTTGCTGTATTTTGTAAACCAGTCCCAAATTTATGGATATCTGTAATGTAAAATGTTCAACTTATTTATTGTCTTAGCCACGAATGACAGTAAACAGCACAATTAAGTTGATATATAGAAAAAGTCTTAAGCAATAAATGTAGTAAAATAAAATCATAGTAAAAAATCATTAAGGGAAGCAACCTACTCCCAAATAATAGCAAAGTATCTAGCAGCGCCTCTGTTTTTATCAGATAAAATGGTCATCTGCCCATTCTAAGCATATCAACTGACATACAATGCTGGCCACACACAGTTCAATCAAGCTAGTGTAATCCAAGCCTTCTGTATCTCTTGTGTCATGACACTTTGTATGCCCCCATTACTATTTCAAGCAGTTTGCATGGAATGTGCTTCACATGACCAGTTTCAGCTCCTGCATTCTAAATGGTGTTCCTAAAGATTCTGTTCTTCGGTTAATTGATAATTTGATTTACAAGAAATACTCTTTTAATGATACGATCCTACAAACCTGCAATTTTATGCCAAATTTCTTCAACAGATCCACTGTTTCTTCTAGCTCTTTCATGGCAAGTTTCACTGACTGAGTGCCCCCTGTCTTTTGTTTCAACATTGTATTCAACAGTGGGGTTAGATCTTGCAGCTCTCCTTTTTGCTCAATAAATCTGTAGAGTCGAACAAGCTGCAAAGCAAGACAGGAATGTAAGTACAGCACTTATGTATGAAGTACTACCTGTTGAAAATCTGCATGGAAGGCTCAAACGCATAAAGTAGATCACCAAGAATGGAATAAAGTTTATTTCATCTGTTTATTTTAGATGTAAAATATTCTATCCTTTTTTCAAAAGAAAAATCTCAAAATGATCAAACCCAGAGACAAAAACCAGGAAAGAGTGCTGAGCCACCCAAAAGACTAATACAGTGGTGCCTCGCATAGCGAGGTTAATCCGTTCCGGATTAACCTTCGCTATGCGAAAACATCGCTAAACGGGACTAAAAAAGCCATAGAAACGCATTGAACTTCGTTCAATGCGTTCCTATGGCTTGAAAACTCTTTATGGACTATAGCTCCTTCATCAGATGCATAAAACTGCATCAAGAATTTCAGCTGTTTATACAGTACACTTGGCAAGCCAATGGAAAAGACCCTAGTCCCTGTTACTTCAGAATGGCAGGTGCTCTTTTGAGAGGAAACCCTACATTTGGAAGCTTGGAAAGGTGGGATCCACAGTGGGTGCACTGGAGCCTTTCCTTTCCAGGCTTGTAAGAAGAAGCCAATTTTTTAAAAAAGCAGCTAAATACAACTTCCACTGCTGAAAGCATGACTCAAAACTCATGGCTTTATACCAGGCATTTCTTAAACTACAATGTCACTTGATAAGGTGAGAAAACAAATTAACAAGGCACAAACAATTTTACTCCTAGTAGCCAGGAGTGAGCTGTTATAAAACAGACTAAAAAGAGAGAATGATTGCACATCACTGATTATCACCTGCAGCTCTCAGCTGAGATGTACGTATGATCAACAATCTGCAATGCATTCTAGGCAATCATATTTTCCTCTCCTTTGAGAGGAAACCCTACATTTGGAAGCTTGGAAAGGTGGGATCCACAGTGGGTGCACTGGAGCCTTTCCTTTCCAGGCTCGTAAAAAGAAGCCAATCAATCAATCAATCAATCAATCAATCAATCAATCAATCAATCAATCAATCAATCAATCAATCAATTGCAGCTAAATACAACTTCCACTGCTGAAAGCATGACTCAAAACTCATGGCTTTATACCAGGCATTTCTTAAACTACAATGTCACTTGATAAGGTGAGAAAACAAATTAACAAGGCACAAACAATTTTACTCCTAGTAGCCAGGAGTGAGCTGTTATAAAACAGACTAAAAAGAGAGAATGATTGCACATCACTGATTATCACCTGCAGCTCTCAGCTGAGATGTACGTATGATCAACAATCTGCAATGCATTCTAGGCAATCATATTTTCCTCTCCCTGGTTTTGATGGCAGGTCTGTGCATGCTTACAAAGATCCCTAGCAGACCTCAGAACCTGAAAGGGATGAGAGGGGATCCCTATTTGATTAGTTCAAATTGAATATTTCTGGCACCTTATCCAGGTTACACTGGCATTAAGTTTATGCAACAAGATTTTGTCCATTATATATTAATAAGCTGGCATTCTTTACAGTTCTTTTTGTTTCTGCTCAAACCACAGATTAATATTTATGAAAACACAAGCTACTAGCACTTTATCCATTGCCAGGAGATTAATGCTCACCAGTTCTGTTGATGATGATGACATGGTCACCTTGGAAGCTACCTACCAGATTTTAATATGCAACAGTTCCTTTCTGTTTCCCATTCCACGTGGTCTCACTTCTATGTCCATATCATGGGCACTACACAGTGTATAAATCTGTGGTCCAAATACTTTAAGTCATGCATATAAAGAACAGAGTGTTTTTAGTATATTATCAGAATTATCTACTATTACTGTTGCTATTCTGATGGCAACAGTAGTAGTCAGACTGTTCTTTCAATTCAAAGCTCAAGTAAGTTTAGGGAAAAACAGAAAGATGTCAAGAAGAAAGAAATTCTTGGTAGATAATGAATCTGTTAATGCAATGGTCCTGGTGGGGCAGCAAAGAATCATGGGTACCTTCATTTAGTAGATAATGAGGGAAAATGTCCTCTGTTAATGCAATGGTGCTGGTTTGGCAGCAAAGAATCATGGGTACCTTCATTTACACTGTAACTGTACTCCAGCTTTTGTATTTATTTGCTCAAGAGCTTCGCACTAAATAAAAACAGTCTGTATATGGAAACAATTATGAATTCCAGGCACCACAAATCTTTGATGGGAAGAAGGAAAAATAAAAGCAGAGTCAAATGGTTTTTCAGAACATAGCTGAACACTCTTGAAAAATGTATGTATCTTTGAAAGAAATAAGAATTTTGCACATTGAGAATACAGTGGTGCCTCACTTAGCGATGTTAATTCGTTCCGCAAAAATCGCTGCAGAACGAAAACGTTGCTATGCGATATTAAAAAGCCCATAGAAACACATTTAAACCCCTTCAATGCGTTCCTATGGGCTTAAAACTCACCGTTGAGCGAAGATCCTCCATAGTGCCGCCATTTTTGGTGCCTCTAAAGTGAGGAATCCGTCCCTAAACACAGCGGACAGCCATGTTTTTCCCCCGGCGGCTGTGCGAAAATGAGGGCTTTGCAATGATCGCTTCCCTGCGATCATCGCAAAGCAAAAATACCCCATAGAGAACATCGCAAAGCAATAACTTTTGCGATCACAAAAAACAGCGTCGCTAAGCAATTTCGTCACTAAACGGAGTGATCGCTAAGCGAGGCACCACTGTACTTGTTAATCATTTTAAAGATTATCAGGACTGAAGAGTGGCATATAAATGTATCTATAAATAAATAAATGTAATAATCGAATAGTTCCAAATTACTTACACTATTTGGTGACAGAGAAATATTGCAAAACTTGGCTTCCACTTCTCTTTTAGTTAGCTTTTCAGTCTGCAAATATATATATATAAATGATCACTGTAGACTACTTAATATTCCTTTATTCTCATTTTAATTTTTTAAAAATCCTAAGTGAGTTAAAATCTAGCAGTTAAAATAGCAGTCTTATTACACACAACTGCTCAACATTTCTATTTCTGTCATCAGCAAAATCAGAGGTAAGCCCTGGGTCTAGAAAATCTGTACTGTACACCCAACGACACACAATTGCAATACACTTCCTAATTTCTGAGACTTGCCAGTTCAGTCTCTGTCTCAAAGAATTGCTTAAATGCAACATAATGGTTTCCAATACCGTCAATACTGAACATAGTCAAGCCTTGACCAGCCTACAGCCAACACTGCTCTAGTGCCCATTCCCAGTATATCAGGGATTACTTTGTCCAAAACTTGCTACGGAGGGTTACGCAGGTCTGTGGAGTATGTTTTCAGGATGCATGAAGGAGCTATGGCGTGAGAGGGATCATTCTTCTCCTTAGTCTGCTGTTGATGTGAACAGTTGTCAGCAGAATGACCCTAGTCATTCCTGTCATCAGATTTTAGAAACAGATTTACACACTACTTTTTATGTTAGAATATGGATGTGGCCATCTGTATTTGAGATCCCTGATCCAGAAAGGAATACAGGTGCAGGTCTCCTCAGCCTCATCATGGCAAGCAAGTAGCACCATTGCTCCATTGCTACAAAGTGGGTGGCATATCTTAATTAGTAACTCAGCCTAAGGTGGTTGCTCCCATTGCCACCTGAACTCATGTTTCCCAAGTCTCTTCTATGGAACAACTGCTCTTCTTTCTTTTTCAGCCCTTTTAACCTTTTGAAGCAAGTTCATCAAAATGATTTGTGTGTCTTGTTTCATCTGACTTATAACAAATAAAATACCTCCATAGTTACCGAATGAATGAATGCCTTACCACAGCATCATAGAGAATGGCGTACACTTGACTGAGTTTATCGTCCGGTATCCCACAGTGCAGAAGGATAGCTCTCAGTATGCCAGTGTGATTCAAGAAAATACTGTAGTTTCTTTCCTATTCATATGAAAAGAGATTTTTTTTACTCCCTTTAACTTTTTATTGATGACTCGATTCAGATACCAGCATTCAGTAACTTCCTCATCTTTCAAATATTTACCATGATGTCTGCCATGTTAATACCAAGACTTAAAGTTGGGCAGTCTTTCTTGAAAGTGAAAGAAGGAGCCAAAGAATATTGAAACTTGTTCTAGGCGCCTAAAGGGAGTTAAGATCAGTTTTTCTATTGTAAAAGCAAACTGTTTCTGGAACATGGTCTACAGATGATGAGGAAAACAAATCAAACATCTAAATCCAACTGCTAGTCCCCACTACCACAAATTTACTGAATAATCTGTTAGTTAACACACATGTAAATCCCACTGATTCAATGTTCTACTCTAGTTGGGAATGGCAATTAGCCTAGTAGGTCCCAAAACTCAACTGGAGAGTGGAATTACCTGTGTAAATCTAAATAGCTCTTTATATTCTAATTCAGTCATTCTCAATGAGGGCCATATGGCCCCGAGGGGCTCTGGCAGATTTGAAGAGGGCAGTCACAGACTGAAAACAATTCTTCACACACCACCTTCTAAGGTTCATTATGTGACTTATACAGTCCTGATTCAGCCTATATTTCATACAGTGTTTATAGCCAGGGCTAAAAATTGTTGAGAATGGCTATTCTAGCCAATTATTCAAATAGACACTTACATTATTATTTTTAGAACCAGTTTTATGTTCAAAGGCTATTATGAGCTTTCCATGAGGATGGCAGCAGAATGTTAGGAGGCTGTGTTGGTACCTTTTTTTTCCTTACCAGAAAGAATGATCACTAGCAGAAAGGGCTCAAAGACAACAAAGGCCTCTGCTATGCCCAGGCAGGTAGTTAGCAACCATAACCATAGCTGGTAAGAAGCCTTAAAATTGGGTGGGCAGAAGATGGCTTTGGATCTGCCAGATCCTCAACCACTCTGTTACTGTGGATAAGCCTCCTCGGCCAGCTGGCATAAGCTGGGAGGGCTCCCTCTCTTTCTCCCTGGGCTCAATTCAGACATAGATCAAAGCACAGAAAATGCTTATTTTATGCTAGACTGTGGCTGCTATGTTCTGCTATTGCTCCCACAGTACAGTTATTTTCACACTTCTTAAAGAATATATTTCCCTACAGTTTCATAAAGCTGGTGAATGTGCTTCTGTCCTAAACCACTGGTTCTTAACCTTGGGTTACTCAGGAGTTTTGGACTGCAACTCCCAGAAGCCTTCACCACCAGCTGTGCTGACTGGGGTTTCTGGGAGTTGCAGTTCAAAAGCATCCGAGTAACAAAGGTTAAGAACCACTGACCTAAACTACAACAGCAAAGAAGGTACAAAAAGGAAGACTGAGGTGGTGTTGGGGGGAGGGAGGCAAAGAAACACCTACCTGCAGTACAGGAAATTCTTGGATTATTTCAGAAATGATGTAGATTGTTTCTGCCACAGGTAAAAAACTATTGCCAGCAGGAGTGATTATATCGAACGCACATTCTAGGAGCTCTCTTGGGTGACAGCGGTCTAACTTCCGAGGCCTGAAAACTCGCTCAATGCAGTATCTAGAGAGGAAGAGAAACAGGAATGTTCTAATCTATGAAGCTCTCGTCTACAGTGCTAGACACTGATTCACTCCAGTTCTGCCTACTCTAAGTGGCAGTGCCCTTCCCATGTTTTAAATCAGAAATGAGGAAGGTCCAGTTCTACACTAGCCACAACCGGCATGGCCAAAGTCAGGAATGACTGGAGCTGAAGTCCAACAACATCTGGAAAGCCAGAAATTGTCTCCTCACTTCACTCCTGGCTTAAATAAAGATCTTTCCCAATCTTACTGCTTAAGATATTTTTGCAAGAGTTGATACCAAGGTCTGAACTTGGGACCTGCTGCAGCATGGAAAACGCGTCTCTATCCTTTACAAGATGTTGTTGTTGTTATTTATATACTGCATTTCTCCCAACAAGGGACCCAAAGCGGCTCACAACATTAAAATTCAAACAATTAAAAGCACATTAAGTTAAATATTAAAAGATAAATTAAACAATATATGATTTTAAATAATTAAAAGATTAAAACATGAAAAAGATTAAAATTATCTGCTAAAATAGGATTCATGGATTCAATTATGATTGTTAAAAAGCCTGCCTGAAGAGATGGGTCTAATTATGATTGTTAAAAAGCCTGCCTAAAGAGATGGGTCTTTTTACAGAAGGATAAAATGGAAGGGGCCATCCTGATCTCCCAAAGGAGAGCGTTCCATAGCTTGGGAGCTGCCGCAGAGAAGGCCCTCTCCCGTGTCCCCATCAGCTGTGTTTGTGCTGGCAATGAGACTGAGAGGAGGGCCTCCTCTGCTGATCTTAATTGCCGAGAAGGCACATAAAGGGAGATACGGTCCTTCAGGTAGCCTGGACCCAATCTATGTAGGACTTTGTAGGTAATGACCAGCACAGTTAGCACAGATTTCTTAAAAGGTGCAATCATGCAAATGCTACATGTATCTTAAATAAAAATAAAATACTTCCTGAGCAAGTCCCTTACCTTTTCAAGTTTGTTATGTTATTTCTAGCAACAAATCTTGCAAAAGGAACCTGTAACAATAAGAGGTAAGAAGGCAGTTTGCATGGGAAAAAAACCCTAAAAATCCCCAAACAAAAACCTAGTTAAATGATTTTTTAAAGAAATTATTTTGCAGCAAACATGCTGTACTTCATAAAAGCAACAAAAGTGTCCAGTTATATAATCAGACTCTATCCAACACAAATCACACAAATGGATTTTGATCATGCAGTGGGATGACCCCTTTCTTACAACTGTACTCTCTCTATTCTCACTGTTATCACTCATCACTGATTGAGGGGAGGACTCACTAGGCTAGAGGGGGAGGCCTAGCCCCTAAGGACAGGATCAAGGTGAGAGGGCCACCTCTTCTCTCTGCTTATGAACAAGTAGAATGCTCTGTTAATTTGATGATAATGCAGTTCCGTAGAATCACATTCCTGTTATCACTAGTACTTACTCTGAGATCGTAAGGAAGCATCACCAACATCCCACTGTGATCGATCAGATATGAAGCTTCACTGTGTTCATACAGTTTCCTATTCTTAGGCATTAGCAGAGGTGTATGAAGCTTGATAGCCCCTGTTCAGAGTAATTAAAACACTATGAATTTCATACTACAAATAAGAGGTGATTTCTGAAAACAAGATTATTTCACATAGTATTTTTTTCATTTTTTATATATATTCAGGAATGGGTTATCAGTTTCCATACGGGGTAAAATGCTTTTCCCCATGCCTGATGCAGATAAGAGGGAAACCTTATTTTATAACAGCTTGGATTACTTTGTTGAATTGCCAATTTAACAAGGTTTTGTGAATATAAACAACTGACCTGGCATATAATTTACTGTTATATTTTTCTGTGCAATCTTGCTGGCATAAAGGGGAGAATTATAGGTTTCTAGACTGCCTCCATAGGGCCAATATTCCAGTAAACAATGCCTATTACAACTCTTTGACAACTTATGAGAAAGATCAGGGTGTATGCTAACATAGGAGCAATTCACAGATGTTGATATGCACTTTCCCACCCAATGCATCTCCATGGAAGTGGAGTGCAAGTGTCCTCAAGAGACAATATTGCCTTTACCAGCTAGTCTGATCAGTTATCAGCTTGCATCTGAACAGAGCAAAATTGACCTTGGAGGGAGAACTGAAATTCTCACCACAGAGTGTAAGAGCTTTATGGTTTTGGACTGTCATTTGAAAGTAAAGAATTGATTCAACAGTTCAGTGTTTTATTTCTGGTGAATTGCAGAAGTAAAAATAAAGGGTAAGTGTTTTATGTGATCACTGCTGCTGTAATCCACCAGCGTATCTTTAGTGAGAAAGAAACAAAGTCAATTCATCATTGTGTCATATAAAGACACCTACCATGTCTTTTAAAGATTCTGCTGATTGTCTCACATACGTGCTGTTGAATCTTGGCTATCCGAATAGAAAAATTACCCTAAAAATCAACAGGTATCATGGGTCATAAACAATACACACTTTATATTCAATGCTGAACACATTCAGAGGACAACCATCAATTATCAGACTTGCATGTGTCATAAATGTATGGCAAAGAAATATGGAAGTTACAGTTAGCAAATAAAATCTACAAATAGATTTAAGTAAGCAGATTCTTTTCAGTTAATAGCTGAAATAGATGTATGCTATTTGCTATGCTATGGTTTTTATATTTACAACAATTATAATATAAGAACATATAATACAATGGCTAAACTCCAGTTGGCAGAGTGGAATGTCGTGAATATGGGTGACATCATCATGATTCAATGTTACTCTTTAATTTAATTTTCAAAGCTTTCTCCGTCCCCATCCCAGATTCTGAGGCTCTCTAGGGATCCCTTTGAAAAATGGGACCTTTAACCGTAAAAAAATTATGAGCACTGATCTCTCTGCTTGATCAGGACCAGTGACAGTGATTTTTCAATATTAAAGGCTCCCTATCCCCACCCCACCCAAGCACACACACAATTCCAAGTGCTCACATTCCAGCAGAAACTATGGTTTTGGGCTTTTCTTGCTTTTCTTTTTGGCTCTTGTTTCTGATATTGATTTAAAACAAACCTTGAGGATATCACTATCATAGGTGTAATCTATTGCAGGAGAAATGCGCTGTGAAAATATCTGGCCCATCATTGTCCGGTAAGCTTTCCCATCTATGTTTGCTAAAGTGTGATGAAGTACTTCATGAAGTTCGGACTCCTCCATCTGAGGTGGTGGAAGATGTTCACTTTTTAAAAGCTCCATAGCAGTTGGTCGTTTTGAAGGATCATGGTTCAACAGCCAAGCAATAACCATTTTCTAAAAATGAAGCCAAAATATATAGTCCTAGTTTACAGTCATAAATAGAAGATTGATTGTTTCTTTTTAGTCATATGTCTTACTATAACACATTCGATGTACAGTTACTTCCAGCTTTCAATTTCACAGTAATATCAGTATGCTACAGGTGACATAAGAATCAAAAAATTGAATAAATTAATCTTTTATATTATTGAAATCTACAGAGGATTCAAATGTTTCTTGAAAAATACACTGTAGTGTTAGTAATTCATTAGTTTCTCTTTCTAATGTTCTTTTCAAATCACTCTGATGAGTGTCACACTGTAGTGCTTGGGCATGTATTACTTTGAAATCTGGGAGCAGAAAATAATGATTACCTTTTCAACACATAGCAGTTACTAAAGAAGATATGAATACCTGTTTTGCATTTTTCACATCATCAAAGTCTTCTGGAAATTCAATAGAAGGCTGAGAAATAAAATGGATTAAAATCAGTCACAGACAAAAATACAGAAACTTGAGCGTCTCAGCCTTTTGGCTAAGATCAAGTTAGTAATTATTATTAAATATGAAAATGTTTTTGGATTTATAACCATAAGAATTTGAAGACTGCCATTATTATATTCAAATACCTAGCTGTATTTCAGCTTTTTTCCTCCTATTTCAAAATCTGAATTTTCATCACGGGCTACAGTGCTCTGACAGGAAATTATGATAGCTGATGCAGATTCTACGGGTTTTGAATTATTACATTTATGATACAAAGCAAACAAAGGCTGGTTATACTTTGAATAGGCACATGCCACTTATCTCCAGTATTATTTGCCCTATATTTTTAATAAATCCAGAATATTTTAAATCATTGGCAAAAAGACTTAGCATGTGCATCTTGGGGTGCACAGAAGGTTATTACAAAGATCTGACCTACGTATTATTGATTATACGAGATACTTATTTTTAGGCTTGAACAACAACTTTTTACAGGACCTTCAGATAAATTTATGCACAAAACAAGCCTTTTAGCATTCCAAGTTTCAAAACACTTTATATCTGCTACCAAACAGTGTCCAACAGACTAATGATCATAAAGATTTTATACATACACGCCTTAACTGACTAAGGACAAAGATCCTTTCTGATGCAGTTGTCAATGGATGATAAGACATCTCGAAGAATATTATACCCAAACTGAAGAGGTCCACTTTCTAGAACCAAAAAACATTGAAGGACAAGTGAGTGTCATTGCAAAAGAGGAGGGCTTTATTTGCTGCTTATTTCCCTAACTTTCCAATCATACTGATAAGAGTACATGCAATGAGCCCCGGTGTCTAGAAATCCCAATCTTCTTCCTTCATCTGAAGACTTGACATTAACGAAGGCACAGAAAAAGAACATTCATGAAGTGTATTGAAATTATTTTCTGAATTATTGTTTCATCCTATACACTTTCAGAAGCATCTAAGGGACATATTCCAAGAGCATCTACTGCAGTTTTATATATTAATCAGCAACAGAGTGGCACTCCATGAACAATCAGAAGGATGTTCTACTTGTTGACAACTATGTCTGGACCCAGCGCACAGACATGGATCCAAAAATTCCTTGTGAGTCCATAAATGAGCACGAGAGCAATTTAACTGAGAGAAAAACCATTTCCTAACTTTTCCAGACTTTTACCTGGTTGTATGTAGATTTAGTACTTCCCTGGACCTCCGGACTTACATAAAGAGCAGTGCCAACCATTCCTGTTAAGTTACCTGTAAATAACAATGTTTAGTTACCAACTACTTCACAGAGCCAATGTGAAAGAAAAAAAGTATTTTATGATATCTGAATATTTAAACTGAAACTCAGTTGTTTGGTTAGCATGGAAAGGACCCTCTTAGCAAATGCACAGTGTAGCATCCCTGAGGGCACAGTGCTCCAGGCAACCTTTGGCTAGCAGAGACTGCATGCACCCATGGAACAGTTATGTTCCGAAATTGCTAATAGGATTTTTCTCACAATCACGTCCTGTAATTTATCTGCTCATTCCTTAAGACTTGAAGGGGAACCAGAGAGATTGCCACAACAGACCTAATCCCTGAGCAGGAAAGGCCAGGCAGGGGTTTCCAAGAAAGATCTGGAAACTGCACCAACTGAGAGACACCCTAGAAGAGTCTGTGGGTACCATCCCCTGGAAAAGACCCTTGGGGCAGTGATTGTCAGGCGTGACTGATAGAAAGGACTGACTGAGGGGGTGAAGTTGACTGCATTTGGCTCACTGATAGGATTGAGGTTGTGCTTGAGGGAGCGGGCTAGCTGACTTCCCTGCTCAATTATTTTATTTAATAAACAATTGTTGCAATGTTGACAACGGCCAAGGGCACTGTTGTGGCTCAAACCCAACAGATCTACCTCACCCAGCTGCCACACAGAACAGATCACAGGAAACATACACAGTGGATACCCAGAGATAATTCAGAGATAGACCAGGGCTGGATAATGGTTGTCAGTTACTTCAGGGCTCCCATTGGGCCAAGCTGATAAGATTGCTTAAAATCTGAGCCTAGTCAGCATTCAGTGCCCAAGTCCTGGTCCTGTATTTTAAAGGAATTTCATTGATTGCAGTATTCTGTGACAGTTTTCTCAAGAGACATGTGAAATACTATGTAGTAGAAGCAAACTGTGTTACACCTACCAGAAGGATCACTTTTCTCCAGACGACAATCTGAAACACTTTCCCCTTGTTTCATGTCTGCCTGAAAAAGAAACCGTGACAAAGCCAGTTATATGCCTCTCAAGTCTTGCATATCTAGCAGCTCAAAATCAGAAACGTTTTATCCCAAAAACCTATTCAGCAGGATGCATACTAGTCATGAAAAGCACTGGATCAATCAGTATCTATCATGTTAATTTACCTCACAAGGTTATAGTAAGAAAAGAGGAATTATATACATCCAGAATAGGCAATTCCAGGCTTTAAAGATCTACTTTGCATTTTTTTTAAAACTTGAAGGTCGAGATTCGCTACCCCAGGACTATTGCAAAAGAAATATAAACTCAGAAATAAAGAAATCCAAGTCCTAAAAGTTGTTCACTGTATCAGAACTGAATGCAGCTCACATATAGAAACCCACTTCTGTTTGGTTGTTGTGGGTTTTTCAGGCTCTTTGGCCGTGTTCTGAAGGTTGTTCTTCCTAACGTTTCGCCAGTCTCTGTGGCCGGCATCTTCAGAGGACAGCACTCCGGAGCACAGGTTGCGCCCGAAAAACCCACAACAACCATTAGATCCTGGCTGTGAAAGCCTTCGAGAATAAACCACTACTATTTATTCCTGCTACACTGGGAATGATGTTCTTCCATACTGTTCACGGAAACTAAATTTACTCAACAGGTTATCTGTGTTAGTCTGTAGTCTGTTACAACAAAATTAACAAAGGGGCTTGTGGCACCTTAAAAACTAGTAAGTTTGAATTTAGTAATAAGCTTTCATGGTTTGCAATCTGCCACTTAAATGCTTCAGCTGCATCTGAAGGAGTGAGCAGCAGTCCACAAAAACCTACCCCATACAAAACTTGTTAGCTTTCAAGATGTCACAAGTCTCTACAAGAAAATTAAAGTATAATCCCTGCTGTCATTACAATTCTGATATTTATAAAATGGCTTAATTTATACAATTAAAAGAGTGATTTTTCTTAGACTACTTACTGCATATGCTGGGTGATCTGTTGCCAAACCAAAGTCACCAATTTTCACATGATCTCCCGAATCTAAAAAAATGTTGACAGGTTTCAGATCTCGGTGAATCATTCCCTTTTAATAAAATAAAACAAAGTTTAATACATAAGCATTAGCAGGTAGATCGATCACATGTTAACACATGAGCTGAGGACATATGAAAGCTTGGCCAAAACCTTGTTTGTTTTAACTGCACGTGTTAATGGCCCTCTGTGTATGCACAGTTATCTTTTTATGCCAACTGTATAGGGCTATTAATAATTCACATTAACTTATGTAACTGCAACCTGGGATCACTTGAGCAATTGTAGGAAGCTCTGTCCATGGAGAATATTCCCCAGTTGTTAATAGGATTCTGCCCACTATCTCTTCCTGTATTAATCTTCCCATTCCTTAAGATCTACTGGGACAGTTTTTTCTGGATCTTCATAGTGCTGGAGTCTCACTGGCAGGGGTTGGGTTTTGTAGCTAAGTCCAGCCTGTGGAATCCCCTGCCCCTAGAGATCTCCCTTTTAGTATTTTGTTCATTATTCAAGGCATCTGTGTTCAGGCTTTTAGAGTACTGAACAGCTTTTTCATATGTTTACTCACCTGTGATAAATCCCTTTTTACCTATTTCTAATGTTCTTGTGGTATTTTTTTTGTAATATAAATTTGTTATAAATTGCTATGCATATTGATTGAATAGAAAATTAATTATGAAAATATTGTCTTAAAAGTAATATATTATAAGAAGGGTAGCATTAGCCTAATATAAAGTTCAAACTGGCAAAAATCTTGTTGCTTGGTTTAGTAAATCACAGTAAAGTAGGTGCACTGAATCAAAAGGCATCTGAGACATCTCCAAACGGTCTACTCTAACTGCAACATATTTAGCATAGAGTAGGCCCACTTGAATCAGTGGAACTTACAGAGGACTTGACTCACAAAACCCATTGATTCAATGCCCTTACTCTAGTGTGATTTACTATGCTAAGCAACAGGATTTTGGCCATTAGTTGTAGAAACCAAATGCATTTTTACTGTAATAATGTGACTACTCCAGCCCAAAAAGACATTAAAGCTTCAGAAATTTTCAAGAAAAAGAGAACATTTTAGGAAATCAAGGAACAGGGAGGGAAGACAAAATATCTATGTAACTTCTTGTTTACTGGTATGAAAATAAACTAGTAAGATTACAAGATGCTGCTTCCGCCATCTAATGTATGTGCTCCAGAGATCCTTAGAGCAGGAGAAGAATAAAAGTGTTATTAATTAAGGCTAGAATTCTGGTGATCATGTGATCCCACAAGGGCAATTGTGCCAGCAATGTGAGCTGTTTTCACACATGGCTGTTGTGCACCTGCTGATCACACAGTCAACTGCACCACGGACAGGGCGGAAAAACAACCACTTGTGCAAATGTCCATATGCACACAGAAAACCTCAACAGGATTTTGGCTTAAATAAATAAAACCCAAGGGAAGTTTTTAACTAAATATGCTTCATATAAACATCACTAACCTTTTCATGGATATAAGCTAAGCCATCCAAAATTTCCCGGAAAAGCCTCCAAAGTCGATTGGTATCTTCATGTAAGCCTTGATCAATGGTATCTCGTAAGGTGCTCTTTTCGCAATATTCCATCTACAGATGCAAGATGAAGAAATAGTTGAACAATAGGAAAGCTCTTAGTGGTCACGTTTGTTATTGAAAACATTTCCTATACTGGGGTTGCAATGCACTTTATAGATATGTGAATGACTTGGGGAGAAAAGTCTACAAACTTGAACAAGTGTTTTATATCTATATCTATATCTATATCTATCTATCTGTCTATCTATCTGTCTATCTGTCTGTCTATCTGTCTGTCTATCTATCTGTCTATCTGTCTATCTATCTATCTATCTATCTATCTATCTATCTATATATATATATATATATATATATAGGCTAGGTATAGACAGTTCACCTTTTTCCAAAATGTGAGTCCACCCCTCTTCATACCAAAGACTGCAGGTGGGCATGCTCGCCTTTTTCCAAAATGTGAGTCCACCCCCCTTCATACCAAAGACTGCAGGTGGGCATGCTTTGAAACCATGCACTTTGTGCTGAATGACCATGCAACCCTCTATGACCAGATATCGAATAAGTTCTGACCTGAATGTACAGATAATGGACAGTTTGAATCATGGACGTTCCATCTTCCTCGCTATGGCTCTCTTTTCCCTTGCAATCTTCATCCTGTACCACAGAAATATAAAAGTACAAATCAACACAGGTCTCCAGCCACATACATCTATCTACATAGGTTCAAAACCTAACTGAGCATACAGCATGTACATCTATCTACACAGGTTCAAAACCTAACTGAGCATACAGCATTAATTTAAACCATACTGGGGTTACATCCAGCATGTCAAATCAAATAATGTCCCCTTAATAGATTTCTATACGTTAATTCCATCCACTGTGGAAGAGAGCAGGATGCTCTCTGGTTGTTTTTTACCAGCATGCAGAATGATTTTGCATGTATGCAAATATGTATGCGTGTTTGTAATGTGAATCAATATGCACGGAGAGGGGAAGTGACACAAGATTCAGTATATTACAGTTACGTGCAAATCTATGCCCTGTTTGTGAATTAGATAAATCTTCCTGTCATCACTAGCAGTAGCCCATCAAATGCCTTGTTCTGAAGCTGAGGTGTGTACCAATGTATAAGGTGTTACTAAGAAAGGAGTTTTTGCGTGTTTGTAATGTGAATCAATATGCACGGAGAGGGGAAGTGACACAAGATTCAGTATATTACAGTTACGTGCAAATCTATGCCCTGTTTGTGAATTAGATAAATCTTCCTGTCATCACTAGCAGTAGCCCATCAAATGCCTTGTTCTGAAGCTGAGGTGTGTACCAATGTATAAGGTGTTACTAAGAAAGGAGTTTTAAAGTTTAAACTTTGTTCTGAAGCTGAGGCATGTACCAATGTACAGTATAAGGTGTTACTAAGAAAGGAGTTTTAAAGTTTAAATACCAACCAAACTATTAACATGTTGAAATCATTATTAAGTGGTTAGGGAATGGCTGGGAGTCACTGAATGTGTTGACAGGCCAGCTTCCAAAGCCAGACATGTCGAACTGCCAGCAACATAAGCTGCCCATCAAGGAGATATGCAGAATATTAAAATTCTCTATTATCTGTAAAGCCTATAATTTGCATACCAGTCCCGAGAAATGTCCAAAATTTAAAAATTCAAAATGAACAGAGTTCCCGCCCTAGCAAGGAAACAAACTTTTCCCTCCAGTTTCAATGGTAATAGCACTTAATGACAAAGTCCGTTTCATATAGCCCTGACCATGTACAGCAGTTGCGGGCTACAAGTCATTGTATCCACTTAGGGATACGCATTCTGAACAGGCAAAATTTATTTGCTCAATGTGTTCAGGTAGACTATTAGCGCCTTGCTCCGTCAAGTCAATTCTGACGTATGGCGACTTCTCCCAGAGTTTTCAAGTTTGTGAGTACTCAGAAATGATTTACCGTTCCCCTCTTCTGGGGGATCTTGAGACTGTGCAGCTTGTTCATAGTTACACAGGCTGGCTCTACTCATAGGAGGCACAGTGGGGAATTGAACTCCCAACCCCCTTGCTCTGCAGCCACTGAGCTATCCAGCCACTTTAATAATCAACACGTCTAATGCACATGCTGACTGCATGACCAAATCAACTGACCACTAGGCCAACTCAGCAGCAAAGAAATAATTAAGTAGTTTTGCTGACTGCATTTGGCTTCTTTTGTGACATGCAACAGAGATGGATCCCAAACAATGGATGTTGCACTGGCTTATGGTACCATTGCAAGTGTCGTAAATGGACATCAGATTGCCAGCATACAGATTTCTAAGAAGATACTTTCAATAATTACTACTTCAATATTTACCGTTCCACGGTTTTTACTGTCTTCTTCATGTTCAAAAATGATATCACTTTCAGAATCTGCTGCTGGCCTAAACAACAAGTTCAAATAGCAAAATCAAAATCTCTGCAAACAGTACATTCATTAATCCAAGCCATGCTCCTCCAAGGTCTGCATATCTGCAGAAGCTTAGGAGGTGTTTCACACTGGATAGGTGGACAATGGAACAGGGAACTGGAGATTTATTCTGTCATTTAAAGTTCCGTCCAGAAGCTAACTGAATATTATGGCAACATACTTCCAACAGTTTATGTCTTGGCGGTCAATTGCCACCAAGAAGTTGTTGTGTGTATTTCTTGTCACCCATCAAGTTGCGCAACTAGTGTGTAACAAGAAACACAAATGCCAGCTTCTTAACTAGTAGCAATTCACTGAGTTTTACACACCCTAGACTTAATCCTGATAGTACTAGGGATTGTGACCTACATTTGACTGTGTGCTAGGACTGAGAATTTTAATTTTGTACAGATATAATATATACAATGCAATTTTTTTTTAAAAAAAACAGCAGACAGGACTGAAAGAAAGTTTGTCTTTCATTACAGACGTCTTCATTACTAAACTGAGTGGTTACAAAGTTATAACACATTGCAATGCTTTTGTTACAGTTCAGCAGTGCCTCCCCCCTCCCCCCGAAAACCACTGCCACTAACAAAGGACAGATCTATATTAATGCAGAAAGATTTCTCACAGTATAGTTCAATTTGAAACAGAAAAGCAGCAGGGGAGACAAATCACAGACAAGGAATTTACATTCCAGAAATATCTATCATTGATTAAGCAACACACAGGACTTTTATGCCATCATGCACAACCTCAAATACAATTTCTTACAACAGACATAGTTGAGAATTTGATCTAACTCATCAAATAATAATAAGGTAGTGTGTAATTTTTGCAGTGTGCAATGCACATGCATGTTTAAATTAAGGCATCTGATAATATTTTAAAATTTGGTAGTCTTATGTTCAGTGAAGAAAAAAGGAGAGAGTCGGTATTTGAACTGACCGGATAGGAAATGTGCCTTAGATCCAGAGCTCCCATGAATTCAACTGTATTTATGGGAGATCCTCCCTACGGCAGCCTTTTGTACATCTGCTCAGGAAAGCCGGTAAACCAGCAAAATCACCTACTCTTCCCTCTTTCACCAGTGGAAGACTCTGCTAGTTTGCAGCCCCTTTGGCAGACAGAAGGTGCTCTTCCATTTATGCAAGGTCAACTCAAGATCCAATCTATTGCAAGTAAATGCCCTCAAAGAAGGAAAGAGAAAGGCATACCCTATACCCAAACTCACAAGAAAGACTGTGAGAATACTCCGTCACCATCTTCCTCATCGTCATCATCGTCACTGGATTCCTGGTCAGCCCCACTAAACCTGGTGCTTGAGGATCTCTCGCCAGAGGTGCTCCACTCCACAGAACTGGTCAGGACAGGAGGAGGAGCATTGGCTTCTATGTTGTCCATGAACTCCTCTACGCCCTTCCCATTCTGAGTCAGCTTCTCAGCTTCTTTCTTTCCTTCTGTAGAATCTGATGATTGAGTACTAAGCAAAGGCCTCTCGTGCTTTTCAATCCATGCATTGTAATACCGTACAATGTTTTCATGGTTCAGACGTGACAGCAGTGTCACTTCTCCTTTAATTCTTCGAAACTGCTTGCTTGTGGGATTTATGTGAATTCGCTTGACTGCATAACAACAGCCATCCAGTTTGTTCTGGACCTGCTCATTGGAGGCATGACAAGATAAAGTTTTCAAACAAAATTGTACAGAACACCTTCACATATCCTGCTTCCCTAAGAAAACTCTAAACGCTGCCATACAAAGAACACTACATATTCTGTTTTGCATTTACTTAGAATGATTGCTTGCTGTTTTACTATGTTTTATGCAGATACAAATTATAGGAAGATTCTAAGGATAAATTGACTTTCACACTGCGCACTGTTACGTACCTTGATAACTGCTCCAAAGGCCCCTTTACCAAGCAGTTGTAATTCTTCAAACTCATTGTAATAGCGGGAAAACTGCCTCTGTGTTTCTGTGACGAACACATCACTAGCAATCTGACTGCTGGGAATAACTGTTTCAATATCATCTATTCCTGCTGAATCTGAAAACAGAAAAAAATTAATGGAAAAGGACAGATGAGCAGTTCATTGTTAACTGACTACATCTTCCTCTCCTCTCGTTATTTTCAGGTATCTAGGTTTTATGCTGTTGAAGCTGAGATAGAGACAGATCCACACAATATTCTGTTCATCATTATAGAATATTGTAAATAATAATGATTGCATAACTGACATTTTCTCAAACAAAATATTTAATTTTTTTCTGTTTAATGAAGTATATCAAAAATTAAAACAGCTTCAAAAGATAGTGTAAGTACTCATTTACAATCCTGATAGGCATTTTATGCAAACATATGGGGTTTCCTGTGTAGTAGTTTAGCATAGTTTGAGCTACCTTTATTTTCACATTTGCAACAATACATTTCTAACACAGTATATTTCCAATATCTTTTAGCATATCAAAAATCATGGGACTACCTACCACTGGGGCTTTCTTCCACTAGAAGCGGCTTCATCTGTGGTGGGTTTATAAACCTGTGTTGTGATAGCTGCTGAGGGGTCCACCTTTCCTTATCGTCCAAGCAAACACACCTGAATACAGTCCAAAACAATGCAGCTTTAACTCCGATATTATTCAGCTGCAACTGCCAGAATACCTTACAGACCCCCAACTAAAGGTGCAACACTACATGAGCAAGTGTGGACATGTCGTAAACAAACTTCTGTCATTAAGAGTAAGGAGAGGAAAGAGGAGCATTAGATTTAAAAAAGCTGAAATATGACACTTTGTTTAGACAGAAGCCTAATCATATTTTTTTTAGCATCTTAAGATATTCAAGATTGCTGTAAGAGTCTGTCCATGGAATGGAAATCATTCAGATTGCCCTTTACTTGCCCCCACCCATTTGCTTCAGTAGATCAAACAAATCTGAATTCAGCAGAGCAAAGCAGAGGATACAGCAGAAGTGTAAAGGGGAGGAGTGGAAAGGACAATTCCCTTGAGTAAGCAGAAGTCTGCTCACACAAGTATGGATGTAATGCACAATATACACTAACCAAAATGGCTTTACAGCGATTTGGTTTTAAAACTGACAAACCTCTATGCTCCTACATGCTAACATTTTGCTCTAACCAAAGAGCCTCATTTAGAAAAAAAATGCAATGAATTATTTAAAGCATGTGCTTATTGCCTATTTGTAAGCAAGAAGGGTTAAGAGAAAGTGGATCATCCCATATTACTGTTGTGCAATAATAAGTTCATGCAAAGGGACTCACAAAATAAAAAAGATTCCACATATGGAGGCTAGAAGCCCCAAATGCCTTGGCAGAAAGCACACAGCTAATCACCAAACCTACTTTAAAGTATTCCTCCTTGGAGCTTCCATTGCCAAGGCGGCTTTGATTAGTTTTAAAATAACAATGTGCCTCTTCAGCTACACAAGTCTATGTGACAAAAGTGCGCCCCCCTTGGCTATATAATGTCCACCTGGGCACCCTTGTTTCTGATCTTGGAAGTTCACATTCAAACCCAATATGAACCGTACAATTAGAATCCTTATTTTATTGAAGCTGGCTGGATATACAGTGGTGCCTCGCTTAACGAGTGCCCCGTTAATGACGAAACCGCTTAGCGATGAAGATTTTGCAATTGAAAAAGCGATCGCATTGCAAAGTTTTAAATAGGAAAAAATCACTTTGCGATGATTGGTAACCTGTTTCGCTTACCGATTATCGCATAGTGATCTTTTTCCTACAGCTGATCGGTGGTTCCAAAATGGCCGCCGGGGAAAAAACATGGCCGCCTGCTGTGTTTAGGGATGGATTCCTCGCATACCGGGCAGCGAAAATGGAGCCAGAGGTTTGGACTTTGATTACTGAATTCTTATTTACAAATATTTTTATGAGGGATGGCAAAGGAAGAAAAGCAATTAGACAGGTACATACTTTTTCAAAAAGTCTTGAAAATCAGCAGGCAAATCATTTGGAATTGTAACTGGATACTCCTTAGTAGTCTGTCCCTGGCTGAGTGCGAGCAGCATCAAGCCCAATCGCCAGACATCTCCTTTTTTCCCTGGTTTGTTTGGCAAGGCATCCTCACTAAATCGAACTTTGGTTTGTTCAAAAACATCCTCCTTACAGATATCAGCCAAACGTTTGGAAATACTGTAGTCTGTCAACTTAATGGTTCCTTTAGTGTCCACCAGCACACTGGATGCCGTCAGAAACTTGTGTACAACTGAATTACTGTGTAAATAGTCCAGAGCTAACAATAGCTGGGTTGTGTAGTGACGCAGCTGATCGATGGGAAGGGGGGTCCCTTTGTCCAAACAGCTGGAAAGGCTGGACCCACTAATGTGTTCCACCAAAATGTCCACCACAATTGAGTCACTATGCTCCTTAAAGCTCATAGATACATAATGGACTATGTTGGGATGGTTTAACTTCACCAGAGAGTTGAACTCTGCTTCTGCTCCCTGAATCTGTGCACAAGAAATAAAATATAAATGAATGTTAGTCAAACAAAGGACTGGGCATTTCTCTTCAATAAAGAGGGACTCCGTGTGTGTATTTTGTCAAAAGAACCAATGCAGGAAGCTACAAGTAAACCCAAAGCTCTGGGTACACTTAAAATCATTTGGCTAATCGACTCTCCAACTTTCAGACAGATCTAAAAAGTGGAGAAGGACAGAATGATGGTGATGGCTGTGGTGACACAGAATGCATTTGATGTGTATGCTTTCTTCTGATTTAGTGATGAAAACCTACACCTCTTTCTCAGTCCAGGTTTTATAATATCTCCTCTACAAATGTTATTAATTCTTCACTGTTGTTGCTGAGCTACCCATATAGGTTTCTAGACTGTCTAGATCTCAAGCAGTGTCGCCTTCTTCTCATTCAGCAAATTTTAGATGTCTGAATTTCCAAGCTATTTCTATTACTCACGGTCCTGCACTGTGTGAATGTAAAATCCTGAAATACCAGATTTAAGACACACAAAAGTGCTATTACCTGTTTTTTGCATTTTTCAACCTTTTCTTTTTCTTGACTAGTGAGGAATTTCCCCATTTTCTTTTGCCACTGAAGTACCCATTCATGCACTAGGACAAAGTTGCCGCTGGATATATCCAAAGCATTGTAGACCGATTTACCAAGTTGTTCATCCTTGTCTATACAGAGAAATATGGATAAACATATCAGCTTCCAATGCAGACACTCTCAGAAATGCAAAGACCGTTATAAAATGTTCAGTTCTTTCTTTTATGTTCTGGCCAATTTGACCTCCCAAGCATTAATTCGAATTGTTTAACACAGGTACAGTTGGGGTGAGCAAAGTGTCCAGTATCGGAATTCCATCCTCACCTCTGCCATTAAGGAAGCCTGATTTCCAAACAGGTAATATGAGCTGGGGAAGATAATTCAGGGATTACCTCCTAGCCTGGAGGCTGAGTGGAAAATTACAACCAAAAGGCACCAAGGGTGAGGCATCAAAAACATCTGCCCCCAAACTACCTAAAACCAGCTCTCAGCTCACCTTAAGCAACAAGCCTGGTTGATCTCTGCCATGACCATCTTGGGACTTTCCGTCTACCCTGTGCCCGAGGAAGTGAATTTTATTCATGAAAGTTTGCGCCGAATATTTGATTTTTAGTGGTCTAAATAAAGGTATCATCTATTTTACATTTTGGATTGTGCAGAGGACCACACAGCTATCGCTGTTGACTTTTTGGGTAGAATATTGCAAAACTCAAAATTTCTTTTACTAGAAATGTAAACGAATGTTGTGAGAAGGTCTGGTATGAAAGGTCACTTAATGAGAAGTCTTAATGTTTACAGTGCCAAATCAAAAAGAAGTGGGGGAGGGAGGGAAAAAGGAAAAGAAAAAAAAGGAGAAAAGTGGGGGAGAGAAAAAAAGTCACTGATACAATCCTGTTGCCCTAATTTTATATTATACACAAGGAAGCATAGTAAAGAATGTGCACTCAGCAAAATCTGTAAGACAGCTGTTCACTAGGAAATAGCAGATCTGGAAATCAGGTATATATGGCAAATCTATATTTATAAATATGGAAAAATTAAAAATCAAGAGATAACTTAATCCTTTGAGCTGCCAAGTGAAGTTGTGATTACCAAATCAGATTATCCAGCTTTCTTCTTATCTAAGTATTCACACACGATCCTCACACAGCTTTTATTTTCTATGTCTTTCAATGTCAGAAAGAGAGCTTTTATCACTCTCTCATTTCTGTATGGGGAAAATATTGCAAATACTGTAACAATTCTGATAAGCAATAACTGTTTCGCTCACCTATACACCTTCCTTTGTGTACTTTAAGCTGACCAGTAGCACTACTGTTGAAATACAGAATTTCACAAGTTCCAGGAGAATCTTCAGTACTGCAAGCAGAATGTTGACGTTCTCTTCTAAAAAAGAAAACATCACAAGTATATTATTTCCAGATGCTGAAATACAACCAATAAAAGGTTTCCATTTCAGTAAGGGATGGGGAAGGTTTGGCCCCCATATTGCAATTTCTATCATTTCTCATCACTGACTATTTCAGCCTGGACTAATGGAAGCAAAGGGGATCAAATGTTCCTTATCCAAGGTTTAAGTACTAAAAGTGTGTTGGCTTAACGGTATGATTTTATGGTTCCAAAAGCAGTTGGTTCAGCAGCAATTACTGCCATGAAAAACAAAACAAAAATCACTCAGAACAGCAGCTGTTAGCCTACAGCAGGAAAAAGAAAGTCATTACAACACTGCATTTTATTAAAACTTTGCATAGACTGTAATTTAAATGAGGCGAACCGGAATGCCTGAGATACTAACCCCAATTATATATTCCATTAGGCAGGGTGTGAACTGGACAAATCCATTTGTACCATTTTAATTGGATCCAGAAATTCCTGACAGTAAAACAAATGAAAGCAAGAAGAACCCCCCACAGACACCACCACTTCAGATATACTTAAGAGGGGTTGAACTCTGCATTTGTAATAGATTCAGACCTTTGATCTATACATGCAAGAATTTTAGTACACAGACAATCATGTACAGAAAAAGTATGTGTGCCTCCACATGCATCCCTATCATGTATCTGTTGTGATATGTATGTATGCACACACAGTTATATCAAAACATCACCAACCAATCCAAAAGAAAAATGTAGCTCACCTTGAACGCCCTGTGGAATGTGCACGATATTTATTGTTCCCTCCATGTTCTGTAGCACCACCATTGAAACTGGTCATTAATTTGTTCCCTGCAGCATCTCTGCTGGGCAGGATATCCTGGTTTGTCAATGTGGCACTTTCCAAACGCTCCTGGAAAGATATAAAGAGGCAGGGGGAGAAAAAAGGGAATTGTATCTCCTTAATATTATCTTTTAAATCATTAAACATGTAGAATCCCTGACTGGAGTTCCACTTCCAAGATTTGTTTTGGGATATGGTTAGGGAGAGGACCAAACAGTTGGTTACAAACTTGCAAAGTTTCCAGGCACAATTCAAAGTGCTGGTTTTAACCTATAGAGCCCTAAATGCCTTGGGTCCAAGCTATCTAAAAGGCTGTGCTTATGAGCCTACCTGGTTAAGAGAATCAGGTGAGGCCTTTCTTCTGGTCCCATCACCCTCACAGGACACAGGAAAGGGCCTTCTCTGTTGCGGCTCCCAGAATCTTGAACTCCCTCCCATGGGAGGCGAAGCTGGCCCCATCTTTGCTGTCCTTCCACAGGCAGACAAAGACCTTTCTCTTCAGGCAGAGGTGATTTTTTAAAGGGAACATTTTTTGTTTGTTCTTGTGTTTTTAATATTATTGATTTTTTAAAGGGAACATTTTGTTTGTTTGTTCTTGTGTTTTTAATATTATTCTTGTTATGAATATGATACATTTCCAATTTTTAAAAAACATTGTAAAAACTTATTATTTGTCTTTCAAATTGTTTCTTTTAATATTATAAGCTGCCTTTGAGAGAAAGACAGGATATACAGTGGTGACTCGCTTAACGAGCGCCCTGTTTAATGATGAATCCGCATAGCGACAGATTTTTTGCGATCGTTTTTAGCAATCGCATAACGATGTTTCTAATGGTAAAAAATTGCTTTGTGAAGATCAGTAAGCTGTTTCGCTTACCAATTTTCGCATAGCGATGTTTTAAAAACAGCTGATCGGCGGTTCCAAAATGGCTGCCAGGAAAAAATGGCCGGCCACTGTGTTTTTGCGCCGATTTCTCGCATACCGGGCAGCGAAAATGGTGGCCGTATGGAGGATTTTCACTTAAAGGTGAGTTTTAAGCCCATAGGAACGCATTAAACGGGGTTTAATACATTCCTATGGGCTTTTTCTTTTCACATAGCGACGAATCCGGATAGCGATGATTTTTCTGGAACGGATTATCGTCGCTATGTGGGGCACCACTATAAATATTTTAAATAAGTATAATAATACTTTAAAATGCAGGCATGCACAGTTACAAGTGTATTTATAATAATACTTAAAAATGCAGGCATGCACAGTTACAAGTGTATTACTTCTGAGCAACTCTTTATCCAGACAGACAAAAACAAGTTAAACCATATAAGTATACCATGCAAGGAAAAAACTTATTAATTTTAAAAAATATGAGAGAGAGTACAGACTAAAATGTGGGGAACCAATACGGAGGATCACAAAAGTCATGGAGCCGAATCCAGACTTGCTGCCCCACAGACAGATCCCATCTCTGTTTACACAGAGGACTCAGATAGACAGGGTAGCAGTTTTCCTTCAACTTATTGAGTTTTCCATTTAATAAATTTATTATAAACTGAGGCAAAGGGAAATTCAGAAATGGTCAATTTGCTCTTTTAAAAATAAAATAAAACATCTCGCTTATTCCTCAGCACGTAAATCCTTAGAAAAGAAGCTTGGAAGCAAAGGAAAGACAAAGCTCACCTATGATTTTGTGGTTTGGAAGAGTAATACTCAAAAATAAAGCAATATTTCCCAATAATACTCAAAAATAAAGCAATATTTCACAATAAAAACAATTTTGGTGTAGAGTAGAAATTCTCAGAGAGATGCTGGACATTCATAGAGACCAACCAATTGCCTGGGATGACCCGTCCATGCATCTCCCAGCAAATTCCTCTATGTATTGTATAAAAGAGTAAGTCATAAATGAGGGGCGAGTTGGGGGGAATCAGTAATGAGGATTTTGGTACGTACAGATGCCTGGACATGTCCCCTGCTCAGGGCCATTTTGAAGAAGGGAGGAGGTAGATTGGGTTTGTTACAATCTGGAATTATAGAACAGAAATGTAAACATACCTGTTTTGCAATTTCTTTCCTTTTCCTCTCTTCCTTCTTTTCCTCTTCCCTTCTGTGAAGTTCATCAAGTATTTCTTGTTGCTGAAACAGATGTAACTGCAATGAATGATCTCTTATCTGGCTTCAGAAGAGGTTCAAATGCAGATCCTGTTAGATAACAAAAATACTGCTCTGCTGACTCAAGGTGCAAGGAAAAAAACTCAAGAGAACAGAGTTTTGTAACTAGAGAATTACAGTTCCCAGTTTAGATAATTCAGATGATTCGAAGAGTAGTACGGGGCTCAGAACTCTGACACAGTTCCAGAGTGCTGCTAGTGTTCATTCCTCCTTGCATCAGCAGAAAGGAAAACAATGGACATAATCTGGATGGATTTTTTTAAAAAAAGAAGACAATGATTTATTTCAAAAACAAACAGTATCAGTAACCATCCATCTCTATGCACAACCCTTTTGGAATCTTGATGAAGGTTCAAATGCAGCCTACCATGCAAGTGCGTTGCTATCCTAGAAAGGGAACAAGCCCACTACATACAAAGAATTTTAGCCGAATAGCAGACAACACATGCAATCTTCATCCCACAGACTACAAATGCAAAAACTGATGGAAGCAGTTCATTGCTGCCCTTATCGGATATCTGTGAGTTAGTGTCAAGTGGGTGGGTGAAGAAAAATATTCAGTATTCTTACCACTTGCTCTTGTTTTCTCTTAAGGTCTTGCATTCGCCGCTGTTCTTCCTGGGCTAGCCTCTCTTGCTCCTTCTGCTGATTCTTCAGCATTTCTTCATGGAAAGATTTTAGAGGTGGCTTATTATAGTCACTGAGGAATGACTGTGTATAAGCTGCCAGTTCATATATCATCACCTGAGGATGGAAATTAAATGCCCACTTTTGAATTATCAAAAGGTCTGTGAACTAGTATTATTTCTAATTGTTCTAGTGCCACTGATCTCAGTATAACATCTCTCTCTCTCTCTCACACACACATCCTAATTGTTCTAGTGTCACTGATCTCAATATAGCATCTCTCTCTCTCTCTCTCTCTTATATATAATTTTACTGTGCTGCATTAAAACAGCCTAACAAATACATAAATGAGTTGTTCCTATTCATAACTCTTGCACTAGCTGCACCTGAATACTCTGCTAACTCATATTAGTCATTTACCATGTTTTCTTTATGGTAGAGGACAGATATTTTAAATCTTCATGGTAGTAACTGCAGGGCCTGCCCCAGTGTTGACCCAAACTGCTGACCCAGAGAAAACATGGCATACAGAAACATACCAACATAAATCTGTGCTGAGAAAATTAAATTAAATATCAAAGTAACCATAAAGAGAATCCTCAGGTGCGAATTAGACTTCTCCCTAAAATATAATTTACAGCAAATCGGAGTCTCCTACTCTGGTGACATTTCTGACAAATTTTAAAAGAAATTATGTATTTTTATGTATCAACCATAATATCGATGAACAACATATCTGTGAAGATTCCCAGCCATCCAGGTGTGGTCATCTGGAAGTTGAGTCATGGCAACTGGACGTCTTTCTTGTTAGGTTGAAACATTTCGCTACTCATCCAAGCAGCTTCTTCAGTCTGAGGAGAGTTGGTAGGTGACTCAGGATATATCCTCCATGTTGGTTTCACTTTCCCCTGGTCTGAATAGGTTCATTAGATGGACAAAGGACAGTGGTTGAGGGATAATCCCACTTCTGCAATGGTTTCTCCAATGTAGAGCAAAGAGGAATGTTCGGAGAAACCAAACAGCCACTAAAAAGGAAAATGGCTCAGCACAGGAAGGGCAATGGCTCAGGACCACAATCAACAGCACTCTTTCCTTTGAAGGACAAAGGACACTCATTTGATAACCAAGATGTACAGTACTAGTTTTGGATCCTACAAAATAGGTGGCTTGAGAGAGGGGTCAGGGAGGCCATACATGTGCATAATGAAAATCCCTCACTCAATAGGAGTGGAGGCCTTAGATATAATCTGTCTACTATTTATCATGAAGCCGTTTCATCAGTCCCCAGAACGATTATGCCCACACACACACCAGAAAGACCACTGTTAACGACCCAATGGGTGGAAAAGGACTGCAGAAGCTAATTGGAGGAGTAGCCAAACGTTCAATCCCTCACTCAATAGGAGCGGAGGCCTTAGATACAATCTCTCTACTATTTATCATGAAGCCGTTTCATCAGTCCCCAGAAAGATCATGCCCACATACACACCAGAAAGACCACTGTTAACGACCCATGACAATGGGTGGAAAAGGACTGGAGAAGCTAATTGGAGGAGTAGCCAAACGTTTTGACTTAACAAGAAAGAAATCCAGTTGCCATTACTCAACTTTCAAATATATAACAATGAATGTAAAAAACAAAATGAAATTACAAATTTCAACAAAAAATAATTAAATATATACCATATATGCATCAAAAGAAATCTCTAAATTTATTTAGAGTTAGTTATTTATCATGTAATTGGAACAACGGTTTTTAATTGTTCAGCTGATTAACAAAATGAGAATCAATCTTTGTCAAACAGTTTCAGTACAGTGGTGCCTCGCTTAGCGATGTTAATCCATGCAGAAAAAATCACTGCTAAGCGATAACATCGCTAAGCGAAAAAAAGCCCATAGAAACGCATCAAAACGCGATTAATGTGTTCCTATGGGCTAAAAACTCACCTTTAAGTGAAGATCCTCCATAGGGGCGGCCATTTTCGGTGCCTCTTTTTGAAAAAAACATAGTGGGCGTCCATTTTGTTTACCTGGTGGCCATTTTGAAACTGCCGATCAGCTGGCCGAAAATGAAGGCTTTGCGATGATCGCTTCCCTGCTATCATCGCAAAGCGAAATTTCCCCATAGGGACCATCGCAAAGCGATCGCTTTTGCAATGGCAAAAAGTCCACCGCAAAGCGATTTCATCGCTATACGGAGCGATCGCTATGCGAGGCACCACTGTACCTCCTTTCTGCACATATTTCTGAGTTCAAAATTCCAACGACATCTGCAGAAAACATACTTTGGCACTGAAAGTAACCACATATAAAAACCATTCTGGCATCACAATTATGTCATCTAATTTATATCATACCAATTACACACAGCGTTAGCATTATTTCTCAGCTGTATGTTTCAGAATGGACCAACAGCGAAGTACATATTACCTTCTTCCTGAATGGACCAACAGAGAAGTACATATTACCTTCTTCCTTTAAAACTATGTGACCAATTATCTGCATTTGACAACACATTAACTAGGAAATACAGTATATCTTGAACACTAATTCTAACCTGTCAGAATGGCAACAATTAAAGATGACATGAAAATCACATCACTGAAGGGGAGAAATCAATGCCACTAATTAAATTTCTGTCTTGCAAATAAAATTTGAACACAGGTTAGTGTTTATCTAAGTTTAGCATTAATTCTTTCAATAGATAATAATATTTAGCAAGTACACTATCAATGTCAGTGCTCTTTCCTGCAGAAGATATAATCTGATTTGGTATTGTTAAAGATATTATCCTTCTTTTCCTTAAAGCCAAATGGCACCCATAATGAGAAAAAAACACATTGATTCTTGATATGGCTGTTGCTAGACAGAAAGTTGAATCAAAACAAGGTGGTGCCCACTTCAGTTCCGTCAACTCTTCTCTAGCAATAAAGTAATATATTTTAGTTATTAAATAGATACAATTCAGATAGTAGTTAATAGGGCAGGCTTCTTCATATGTCACAGCAATATTCTAGACCAGGAAACTTTAAACTTTCTGCCTCGTGGACTCCTTGAGGGAGCTGAAAGTTACTGAGGTCCACTGATCTTAAAACTGCAGTGCAGGTGTGAAGCCAGTAATAACAAGGCAGGAAATAAAGGAGGCATTTGGCATAATTAGCTACCAAGTGTTAATACCCCCTTTTCTAGCAATGTTTGATCCCTTTTTCCAATTGCTAGTTTCACTGAACCAAATAATTCAATAATCTAGCTTCTTCTCTAAGTCATATTCTGTCCCCCTGATAGTTTATTTCATTCATTTGCTCCTGTTTCTTTTATATTCTCTTCCTTTAATACCAGCTCTCTCTCCCATTTCTCTTATTATTCACATTTTTAAAATTAATCCTTTGCCTCTCTCTCTCTCTCTCTCTTTCTTTCTTTTTCTTCTTATTTTCTTCAAAATCCTACCCAGCCATTCTTACCTCAGGGAAAGAAAAAAAAGTAATGCATTAATAATGTGATATTCTTAAAGCAATAAGTACCTTTTCCAAAATTAACACATTATTTTTTAAACATTGATATTCCATCTTCTACAGCCTCCTGGCCACAATTATTCCACAGAATCAGTTTTGGCTTCTTTCCTCCCTGGACAGAAACGTTCCTAGGCTGACTAGTTCTCTGCTCCACTATACTACACCAAGGTCACTCATCCAAGGGGAAAGAGGTTACTTTGTCATCTCAAAAATCGATGGCACACTGGATTCCTCTCCCTTTTTCCTCTCTTAGCAGCACAAGAAGGAGAAAATTTAAGTTGCTCCAGGAAGACAAAACACATTTGAGATTGTTTTCCAGGTGGTCATAGAAACACACCTTAATGACATCAAATTCACACAAAATTCTCTCTCTCTCTCTCTCTCTCTCTCTCTCTCTCTCTCTCTCTCACACACACACACACACACACACACAAATATAAATATGCTGTTTATATTTTGTAGTCTATATCTGTGCCTGTTGCCACCATTTTGGATTTTTAGGAGCGTTGTCCTCCTTTTTATATTTTGTGGGCTGAGTAAGAGATGGTTGCTTTCTTTTATGCTTACCTTTATTTCTGGAAACCACTCAGAGCAATGGCAAACCACTAGATGGTGTGGTATAGAGATTTAAGAAATAAAATAAAATAAATCATTCAAAAAGCTTACCTCTCCACAATGTTCTTTTGCTAATTCCTCAAGTTTGGATTTTAGTAAGTTAACGTTTTCATTTGACAAGCCCTTTGCATTTTTAAGGTCAATTTCAGGAACACTAGGTAGAAGAAAAAAATCACAACAAACAATACTTACAAATGGGTATGTATGTTGTATAATACGACACTGAGGTATCCCTCAAAAGCAACACATCCAAATGATAACTTGTACTCTAAGAATGCATAACTGCTGGATAGTTCAGTGGTCTAGGTCTCTGACTGCAGAGCCAGAGGTTGGGAGTTCAATTCCCCATTGTGTCTCCTCAACAGGGACTGGACTCCATGGTTCTTGTTCTTATTCTTATTCTTATTCCTGGGCTCCTTCCTCAGGCAAAACCTCTCAAGTAGCTTGTGTAGAAAAGACAAAACGTAACCACTGTTCCCATCATTGGAAACAGTGGGTGACAGAAAAAAAGACAAATAAATAAAATGACTCAAACAAATAAATACTGTAAATGCAATTTAGGTTAACATGGCCATAATTCAACTGGTGTTTGTGTAAGGCTTGCATAACATGCTACAGCTAATGGGCAAACTGCTGGATTATATCTCGATTTTGCACTAAGGATGGGACCAGGCACACATCCAAGACTTATCTTAGCATTCAGCATCTTAGCACCACAGCAAACTATGCAGTCTTTATGAGTACACCATGTAAGGAAATGGAAGGAAACTGGGAATTGCAGTCATGCAAAAATTGAGTCTGTTAGGTTCTGTGTAAGATGGATTTTAAAAAGACATTTTTCAGGAGCTTCTTATGCAGAGTTGTTTGTCTAAGTCACAAACACGTTTTTCAGGAGTTTGTTATGCAGTTGTTTGGCTAAGTCACAAAGTCAAACCGTCCAGACAGAGAAGATGCAACCAAAACCACTAACTTGGAAACCGTCCAGAGAGAGAAGATGCAACCAAAACCACTAACTTGGAGAAGATAAGGCACCTGGAGCTTGGTTCATGAGAATGTTGGGCAGTGATTGGAGTGTTCTGAATTACGGCTACTTGGACTTAATTGGGTGTCGGCTTGAAACTGTAATGAAGAAGGAGGTCCTAAAGAATTTTTTGACATTCAACCGAAATCTGGCTTCCTTTAATTTCAGCCCATTGCTGCATGTCCTGCGCTCTGGAATGATCAAGAACAGATCTTGCCCCTCCTCTGTATGGCAGCCTTTCAAATATTTGAAAAGTGCTATCATCTCACCCCTCAGTCTTCTTTTCTCAAGGCTAAACATGCCCAATTCTTTCAGCTTTTCCTCGTAAGGCTTGGTTTCCAGCCCCCTGATCATCCTTGTCACCTTCCTCTGAACTTGTTCCAATTTGTTAGCATTCTTCTTGAAGTGTGGTGTCCAGAACTGGACACAATACTCAACGTGAGGCCTAACCAGTGCTGAATAGAGGGGGACTAGCAACTCACAGGATTTGGAAACCATTCTTCTATTAATGCAGCCTAAAATAGCATTTGCCTTTTTTGTAGCCACATCACACTGTTGGCTCATATTTAGCTTGTGATTTACGACAATTCCAAGATCCTTCTCGCTCGTAGTTTTGCTGAGCCAGGTATCCCCCATCTTGTATTATGCAATTGATTTCTTTTTCTGAGGTGTAGGACTTTGCACTTATCCCTGTTGAATTTTATTCTGTTGCTTTCAGCCCAGTTTTCTATCCTATCAAGATCATTTCGAATTTTGTTTCTGTCTTCCAGGGTTTTAGCTATTCTGCCCAATTTTGTATCATCTGCACATCTGACAAGCATTCCCTGCACTCCCTCATCCAAGTCATTTAAAAAAAATGAAGAGCACCAGGCCCAGGACTGAGCCTTGGGGTACCCACCTGTCAGGGTATGTCGGGGGACACTTGACCCATAAGTCAACTTTGGCAAAGACTTCATGGTCACCAGTCAAGCCCTGAGGTCGCAAAGCAAGACTGATTTCTGGAGACTGCCGTACCTGAAAAATTAGAAGAGTTAAAAAAAATGGATTTGGGAAGTGGAAATCTTGGATGCGACTAAATCTTCAGGCCCTTGTTATCTGGCCCACAGCACAGATATAAAGGTTAGTGTTTTTCTTATAACTACACCACATGCTTCCTTCAATAGAAGCAGAGGACCAAACTCAAGTGATTAGCAAAGTTACTTTGATGGGCTACAACACCCAGAATCTTCTCTTACCCAGCCAGCACAGCCACATATACAATCAATTTTCCATGAACAATTACTACAACTACTGCCAATAAATTGGCAGTAACTGTTAACAACTGACCTCCTCTCCATTCTCCTATCTCACTCCAAGGTAATGTAGCACTCATAAAAGCTTGTTGAACATGGCTTCCTTCTAGTACAGTGATGGAGAGCTAATCAAATGAAAGTTAACCCCATGGTTAGGCATCAAGGTTTGCATTTAAAAAATGCAATGGATATGCCATTAAAGAGTAGAGATGGGTACGAACCCTGGTTCATAGGTTTGTGCTGGTTCATACGCCTGGCACTACCGATGCCATGCGTTCCCTTCCTATTCCTCCCTGGCCAATGATCCACTCACTAATTGGAGCACACTGGTCTCTTCTTCAGATGTTCAATCAGTCCCTGGCAGGAGCATGGGTTTACCTATCCTGCTTCCTTGCCTGGATGGGTGACCAGCCAAGGAAGGCAGGGCAGGGAAACACATGCAACTCCCAGAAAATGGTTAAACAGTCAAAGAGGAGGAGGAGAGGAGCACATGCCAGCTGGTAAGTGAGGGATCCAGCCAGGGATGTGGGAGACAGGCACCTGTGGTGTTGTGCATATGAACCTCCAAACCAAGGTTCCTGCCCATCTTTAATAAACAGCTTCACTCCCTCACTAGACTAAACATTCCCAAAGGCTTCTCCGGGATGAAAAGGAGCCCTATGGAGCTTTAGAATCTAAAATGGGAAAGGGGATAGGAAATTTAAATTATAACAAATTTAAATTATTTTTTATCAGCACCAGCTGATGATGCCATAAGCTTCTATTGCATAAAAAACAGGATTTTACTCAATGAGGGCTACAATCCACAAAAGCTTATTCCAAATGAAACATCTTCATTTTAAGGTGCTTTAAGTAGCTCAGCTACCTTCCTGGAAATTGGTGTGTGCACTGAGTGGTAAGTTGTATACTGCAACGGGGGTGCCTCCACTATCCTTGGCAGGCTGTCTCCTTTCTGCTCCTACATGTATTTCTGAATAGTTCCTTCTCTTCATCTATATGGCTTCGAACTCTGGTTCTTGGTCATGCTTGGCTAGACATAACCTTACAAACAGCTTTACCACATTAAACATTTTACTCTGAACCGCCCAGAGTGATGATGAAGCATTAATGGGAGCGGTATGTATGTATGTATGTATGTATGTATGTATGTATGTATGTATGTATGTATGTATGTATGTATGTATGTATGTATGTATGTATGTATGTATGTATGTATGTATGTATAAATAAGATTACCTAACCATGGCAAAAAATAAAAAGAAAGCAGTCATAATTAGTGATAAAATCTGTTTGACCACATATTTGTGTCTGTCAACAGACAAATCTGGACAGGACTGTAAGCTTTAGCAGATTTCATTAATGTGAAAAATATCAAATACTGTTTTAAAGTTTAAATCCAATATCAATGCCCTCTCACTTAATTGGCAGGGCTAATAATAACCAAACCCCTTGAAAAGTCCTCTGGCCCATCTAAAGTGCTTGAACAGTACCTTTAACCATTGCGATAAGCGAAGAAGCAAGCTACCTTTCTTCCTAGCCTCTATCACGCACAAACAATTGGAAACTCTAAGCTATTTCATACTGGAAAGGAAATTCATGTACCTTTCAGGTGATACAACCAAGAACACATCTTAATGGGCATTTTTAAATAAATGAATTCATTTACGTAAGCAATCAATTCAAGTATTTTTAAAATAAGACACTTAAAGATTGATAACCCAGAAAAGCTATGCCTAAATTCGGGGGGGGGGGGGGTGTTAGATTTTTTTTTGTCAAATCATTATTTTTCAGGATAGAGATAACCAATCTCTGTTTACTTCTATGTAACAGCTTCATTCTAGAACAGTGGTTCTAAACCTTGGGTAAGCCAAGAATTATTGGACAGTAATTTCCAGAAGCCTTCAGCAGCAGTTCTGCTGGCCAGGGTTTCTGGGAGATGCAGTTTAAGAACACCTGAGTTGCCCAAGGCTGGGAACCATGGTTCTATAATACAGTATTTTGAAGTACTTAGTTTTGGAGACAGAGGCCAGAATCTTGTTGATGAGTTATGCATGCATAAAATCAATTGTATAACTCACTGAGGCTAATTTCTATTAAACAACAAGGCACGAGTCAGATTACTATCCATGTGCCTTTGCATAATTAGATGCATACTTCATAATGCAACCAGTGCTTTGTCAGTTAGCCTCAATTCATTGTGGTGAGTTATGCAATTTAACTTATGTGTACATAAATCACCAACAGGAATCTGGCCAGAAAGATTTTTCTTTTTTGGATCCAACATGATTTCCTGATACAGATACTGGCAGACATCTTTTACTATCCTGCAGTGTACATCTAGAGGAAATCATTAGCAAATTATGCTGGCAACAAAAGTACAGACACGTACAAATGTCTTGGGGCTACAGCATAATCTAAGGAGAAAGCTGATATGAATAATAAACATACTAATTAGTCTTAATTTAACAGTCTGAAAGACAAGTTATTGGTGTTAATTTTTAGCACAGGTACAACGTGCTCTATGGTTTTTATTGCCACACTGGGAAGAAACAAAAAAGGGCAATTCCATGTGATACTTATTATCTTACTTGCTCACTTAGAGTTTTTTAAAAAAAGCAATGGCTAATAATTAGACACTTGGGTATCTCCCGCTAAAGAAAACAGAGGGAAAAGAAATGAGATGATAAGACACGAACATTACTTTCTTTAAATTATCACTGTAAAATCAATTCTGTAATATGTGGCTCTAAAAACCATCATCCCATGTACTCTGAAATTTCCCCAGGCTCAGTCCACTTGCTGTGCAAAATCTAAGAATCACAGAGACAAAATACCTGTACGGTAATCCATAGGGTTTATCTTTAAAGGAAAAGTGATTCAAAGATAATACAGATTTTACCATATTAAAGCTTCTATAATTGCATCAGAGAGACTTTATGTGTATATACATATGTTGACTTGGCCAAGGAGGCTCCATCTCCCTGGACTTTATTAACATTTTCTTTTTCATATAGTAACATCCATTCCTACTCCATTGCAGCTGACAGAGATTAGTATTACTCGCTCTCTGAAAACCATTAATCATGTGAATTCTAGAGTAAGGATTCCTCATTCCACCTTTCAGATTCTGAGGCTCCCTAGGAGAGGCCTTTGGGAATCTTGGGATGGGGGGAGGGGCTAATACTGAAAATCTGCCACTAGACTGCTGTTGTAGGTCCTCATCTGGTGGTGATTTTCAAATTTTAAAGGCTCCCTCCCAACCCAAGTGTCACAAAGGCAAAAGAGATACCTAGAGAGCCTTGGGACCTGAAGAGGAATAGAAATAGGACATTTTAAAATAAAATAAAGATCAATATTGCCATATGATCACATCACCATCATTAATGCACAGTGGAGTTGTGTAACAGGACTTCAGCTACTGTAAGAAATACTTCCCTGTTTTTGCTGCCTGCCTATGAGACTAAATATTACAATCTGCATAAGCTACCAGAGATGGCTGGTGCTCTACACTAAACTGAATGAGTCCTAAATTGTGCATTTTTGTGATAATGTGGCTATGATGATGATGATGATAACTATTACTGCTTGTGCTGCAGAACGTGTGGGACTCTTCCACATTGAGCACGTGCATACACTGTCTGCACTTGGAAAACAAGATATGCACAAGAATTAGCATGCAGATGAAGCCATCTTTAACCCACTGACCGGACTCTTACTGCTAATGTATGCTTACATAAGATAAATCATGTAGGACTTGGCAGCAAATTGCTTCTCATTAAAAAGGTACTGGTTGCATTTCCAGATACATGTCAAGAAATGTAACCAGCACTTCAGAATGGAAAATAATTTTCCACCAAGCCTTATCATATTTCACCCTTGTAAGTGTCAATGGGCAATAGGATTCTGGCCCTATCTTTGCTTAATTTGTATCCATTAATCATGGTTTTCTCAGTCAAATATAATAGGAAGCTTGATTAACTCCGTGGCTTCCTCACCTGCTCAAAGTGCAGCAGCTCCACTGGCTGCTGATCTGTTCCAAGGAAGAATTCAAAGTGCTAGTTTTAGTCTATAAAACCCTAAACAACCTGGCTCCAAGCTATTTCAAAGACTGCATCTCCCTTTATCAGCTTGGACGTTATCAGGAGAGGCCTTTCCCTTGGTCCTGCCACCTTCACAGGTGTGTCTGGTGGGGACATGGGAAAGGGCCTTCTTTGTTGCTGCTCCCACTTTGGAACTCCTTCTCACAGGAGGACAGGCTGGCCCCATCCTTGCTGTCCTTCCACAAGCACATGAAGGCCTTTCTCTTCAGGCAAGCTTTCACTCAGTAATTGGCTGTATGAAAGGGGTTTAAAATGGATTATTGTACTTTACTGCTTTGAATGTGTTTTGGTGTTGCTTTTGTTTACTGTTTTTAGTATTGTGTTCATCTGATCTTTTTAGTATTTGTATACTCACTGTTGTTAGCTTTAAATACTGTCTTTTAATGATGGAAGCCACCTTAGGTCCTTTATAAGGAGAAAGGTGGGGTAAAAATATTTTAAATAAATTAAAGTGGTGGGATCAAGGGAGCTGCAGAAAGCTCATGCATTTTCTGGCTTATCAAGCTAGGTCAGAAATGGGTTGCCATCTCAATAAGTGGCAACTAATTGATAAATATCAATTTTTGATGCTCACCAGTAATGGAGTTCAATAACTCTCCTTCCTGCATGTCATACTTGTCATTAATGGTGAACTAATGGTAATATTTCTTTTTAATGTTTACAATAATAAAATTCTCAACCTCTTTATTACAGTGTGTGTGTGTATAAGGCAGTAACAGATTTTACTTTATTGGGCTCCATGATCACTGCAGATGGTGACAGCAGCCACGAAATTAAAAGACGCCTGCTTCTTGGGAAGAAAGCGATGACAAACCTAGACAGCATCTTAAAAAGCGGAGACCTCACCTTGCCGACAAAGGTCTGCATAGTCAAAGCTATGGTTTTTCCAGTAGCGATGTATGGAAGTGAGAGCTGGACCATAAAGAAGGGTGACTGTCAAAGAATTGATGCTTTTGAACTGTGGTGCTGGAGGAGACTCTTGAGAGTCCCCTAGACTGCAAAGAGAACAAACCTATCCATTTTGAACGAAATCAACCCTGAGTGTTCACTGGAAGGACAGAGTCTGAAGCTGAGGCTCCAATACTTTGGCCATCTCATGAGAGGAGAAGACTCCCTGGAAAAGACCCTGATGCTGGGAAAGTGTGAAGGCAGGAGGAGAAGGGGACGACAGAGGACGAGTTGGCTGGACAGTGTCATCGAAGCAACCAACATGAATTTGACCCAACTTTGGGAGGCAGTGGAAGACAGGAGGGCCTGGCGTGCTCTGGTCCATGGGGTCACAAAGAGTTGGACCCAACTTAATGAATAAACAACAAATACAGTATATAAGCCCACAGGAGAATAAGGACGGTTTCGTTTGGTATTTTACAGAAATGAAGGGGCTTGCAAGATGAAAATCTGAGGGTGGGGGAACCAGGTATTTTAAGAATCTGAAAATATAGAGCAAATTAATTATACTTCAGAAATATTTCAGTTCTGCCCTAGGGATATAGTCCTGAAATCAGGATCCACTCCCTACCCAAAATGATTCTCTTCTATTTAGTTACTAATGTTATATACCGTATCACATTTCGTCAAATGACCTGGTAATTTTCTCATGCTAAAAGGAATAACAGTACTTAAAACCGAAGACCAGCGAACAGCCTTACATGACACACACAAGCTTGTATCTTTGTTGTGCACAAGTTTACTTGGAAACATTGCAACTCCCCTTTACAGTGATCAAGACCTGCCTTATATAAAAATGCCAGCATACAGTATATGCCACTTATATGCCATGTCAAATATCCTCTGCGAGCCATGGTTCCATGCTGTGTGCTATCTATGTGCTGTACCATGTCAGGCTTCTCTGTGGCTACAAAAAAAACAACCCTCACCTAATCAAAACAAGACACTGGGGGTGAGCAACAAAGTGTCAAATGATGCATGTGACACAGAGCTGCAGTTCCCTGCAATTTCATGTTTGGCAGGTAACGAAAGGGACATGGATTTACTGTACAGTTCGTCACTTGAGCTAAAAAGGATGGAGACACCATTTTGCCCTATCATTTTGGGGCTACCGCTGCAAAAGGGTGAGGCGATGAAAAGAGATCAATGTTGAATTATCTCAGGTAGGTAAGCTTTGGAAACAAGCAGCGAAGATGAGGTCCAGCCTAGTCAGGCAAACAAAAGCTAAAGGTCAGGCTTAAAGATGAAAACCCTAATTCATCCCAAAAATAGGGTTTTTTTTGGGGGGGGGGAATGTCCGCAGAAAGTACCCTTAGAGCTCGCAAACCTCTGCGGGCGATTGACGGAAAACCACGCCAGCCTCCTCCACGTTTACCTTCCACGGCTGGCCGACGCGTAAGTCTTGGAAGTCCCGCCCATAGATAGATTCCAGCACTTGCAGCTCATTCCCCTGGCGGAGCTGGTAGCTCTCGGGCTGCTCCGGGGAGGCCTCGGGAACCTCCGGCGGCGGCGGCTGCCCGGCTCGACTCACCCGGGCCATGGCAGCCCCGCGGGAGGAGGAGAACGCCAGGAGAGAGGGTGCGCCGAGAGCTCCGGCGTCAGGGCCCCTTCCTGGCCGCCGCGGTTGAACCGCGGTGGGCGGGACCGAGGAGGGCTCTTCCGCTTTGTCTGCAGGCCTCTTGCGACGGCGAGAGGAGGAGGACGAGGAGGAGAGGGGGGGGAAGCGTCGGGGGGCGAGGCCCCGTCGGTGGAAAGCGGCGCCGCCTCCGCCTCACCGCTGGGAAGCGAAACGCGCGCCGTCTGGGACTTCGCCGCGCTTGGTCTGGTCTCCAGACAGACGCACGGCCACCATTTTCTAAAACGGAATAGTTGACCTTCCACGTGGTTGGGAGTACGAATCACATAATGCCTTTCCCACCAGCTAAACGGGATTAGACTTTTTAGAGCCGAAACTGAAAATATCCGGAAGGCAAGCAGGCTCTACTACACCTCTGTTATTAAAAGAATTGTTCGCCTCCGGGAAAATGATGGGTGGCGAGGGCCAATGACACTATCTTTGGAGGCCCTCTGGGATGCTCCAAAACAGTCGCTGGTTGGACATTTGAACACAAGATACATATAAAAGAATGAAATAAGGACCCTCCGCTTCACTTTTGTGAATTCTTTGGTAATTTTTTGGTTTGGGCAAAGCATGACTTGCTCCCCTGTTACTGTTATCTACTGTCAAGTCAACTCTGATCTATAGTCACCCTATGAAGGAATGACTTCCCAAAGGACCATTGCTCAGCTCTGCTCAGCTCCTGCAAACTGAAGGCTGTGGCTTCTTTTCTCATATCTGGTCCTAGTCTTTTCCTGATGATTTCACTTTCCCCCAACTTCATTCTCTTTTCCAGGGAGTCCTGCCTTCTCATTATGTGCCCAAGGTCTTCATTTTTGCCTCCAGAGATAGTTCACACTTGATTTGATCTAGGACCACTTGTTTGACTTTCTGGCAGCCCAAAGCTTCAGCACCACATTTCAAACAAATTAGTTTTCTTCCTGACAGCCTTCTTTACTGTCCAGCTTTCATACAATACATAGTGATTGGGAATACAATATTGTAGATGAACTTGGCCTTGTGGCAGATCCTTATAATTATGGTTTTTGTGAGTTCCTTCATTGCTGCTCTTCCAAGTCTCAGTCTTCTGATTTCTTGGATGCAAGCTCCATTTTGACTGATGACTGAACCAAAGTGTTTTAAAAAAATCTATTTCAGTTTATTCATTGTCAATATTAAAATTGTGTAATTCTTCTGGAGTCATGATTTTTGTCTTTATGATTTTTGTCTTTGTGTTCAACAATAGTCCTGTTTTGGCACTTTCTTCTTTCACATTCATCAGAAGTCATTTCAAGTCATCACTTTTTGCCAATAAAATAATGTCATTTGCATAACTTAAATTATTGTTTCTTTACCAGTTTTCACTCTTGCTTTATCTGAATCTAGTCTAGCTTTCTGTATATGTTCTGCATAAAGATTGAATAGATAAGAGGATAATTGCATCCTTGTCTGACACCTTTGCCTATAGGAAACCATTATGTCCCTTCATGTTCTGTCTTAACAGGAAAATGAAGTGTTGAGACATGCCATAAGCCATAAATGGATCTTCTTCTGAAATTCTTTGGTGCACTCTAGTAGCAATATTTGCAATATGATCTCAAGGGCCCCTTTTTGGACATCAGGCATTTCTTGCTCCACATATGGTAAAAGCATTTGTTGAGCTCGCATGGGAAATTAAATTAGTCTGTGGGCCCTCGTTTTGTTTTCCATATTTGTTGGCCTATTCCTGTTAGGATTTTGACAGATTCATTTTCTGTGGCTTAAATCTGTTCTACTGGTATCCCATCCACCTCTGAGGATTTATTTTTTCCTAGTACTTTCAGTGGTATCCCATCCACCTCGGAGGATTTATTTTTTCCTAGTACTTTCAGAATACTTTTCACTTCACTTTCTAGAACTGCAGGTTCTTCATCATGCGATTCCTTTTCAAAGAAGTCTGCCATCCTTTTATTTCTTCTGTATGGGTTTTCAGTGTACTGTTTCCACCCTCTCTTTATTTTCTCCTGGTCAGATAGTGTGCTTTCCCATTGGTCTTTCAGCATTCTTAATCTAGGCTTACATTTCCCTTTGATTTCTTGGACCTTCTGGAAGAGATCTCTTGTTTTTCCCCTTTTGTTGTTTTCCTCTGTTTTTTTTACACTGGTTGTTGTAGTAGTAATCTTTGTCTTTATGTGACATTCACTGAAAAACTGCATTCAGGGTTCTGATCCTATTTCTCTCCCCTTTTACTTTTGCTTCTCATCTGTCCTTTATAATATGTTTCTTCCATCATCCATCTATGCTTTTCTTCTCTTTTTAGTGCAGGAATTGCCTTTTTGCATTCTTCCCAATATTATCTCTTGTTTAAATCCACTGTTCTTCTGGTTCACAGTCAGTTGAGTTTAGTAATGCAAATCTATTTCTTATTTGTACTTTGAATTAATCAGGAATAGAGATGTGTGTATTCGTATTTGTATACGAATACCCCCCTCACAGCTGGACTTAATGAGGGTCCAGCTCCTGGGGCCGGACCGTCCACTCATGTGTCCACCGGCGGTGGCAGCCTTGGTCAGCCTTCCAATCTTTCCTGGAGCGCAGCTCTCTTTCTGCTCATCTATCCACTCGGCAGCCATGCAGAGAGACGCGTCCTCCCTCCCCCTGCCTGGAGTTGGTTAGAAGAGTGGAAAGAGAGCTGTGCTCCAGGAACGATTGGAAGGCTGCCATGGCCGGCGGATGCATGAGTGGACAGTCTGGCCCCAGGGGCTGGACCCTCATTAAGTCCAGCTGTGTGTGGGGTATTCGTGTATGAATACAAATACCTCCATCTCTAATCAGCAGTATTGGTTAAATTGAAATTTGGCACTACAGTTCTTTTAGTACCCCCCACCCCCAGGTTTTACTCTGTTGGATATTAACAGTTCATGACTAGTAAAACAATCAACTCTTGGTCTTGTTTTGGCTGAGACAATACAACATTGCCATATCCTGCTTCCAATTACATACTGTAGACTATTTGATTTCTATATTGACCATCTGGTGATGTCCATGCATACAGCTATCTGTTCAGTTGTTTGAAGCATGTTTTTGCAATGAATAGATTACTGGCTTTGCAGAACTATGTGAATAATTCTCCTACTTTGTTTCTGTCTCCTGGGCCAAATTTCCCAGGAACATTTGCTTCTGTTTTGTTCTCTATGTTTGCCTTCCAGTCACCTATAATTCTAAGCTTGTACTGATGTGTAATGAATTTCTTCTTGGATGCGTATCTAAACATTTTTGATTTCATCTTCTTCCAGCAGTGGTAGTTGGAATATAGATTTTAATGATTGTTATGTTGATAGGTTTTTCATCGAATCTGATTTATATTATTCAGTCAGATATTGTAGCTCTAACTGTGCCACATCTTGTTTCTATATTAGAACAACTCTATTTTTTCTTATTTTGTCATTCCCAGAGTAGAACACTTTGTAACTGTAGTTCCAGTCCACTTTAGTTCACTGACACTAAGCACTGCAATGTTTATACATTCCATTTTTTGCTTTATGGTTTCCAGTTTATCTTGATTCATACTTATCACATTCCATGTTCCAGTTGTCTTGTTATATAGTTTTGAACTTTCCTTTAACTTCTGTGCACATCCGCCACTGGATGTCCTTTTGGCTTTAATCTACTATCATACCTGAGTGCTATTTGTACTTGTTCTTTGTTCTTCCTCAGTAGCTGATTTATTGATTTCCAGTCGGGGAGTCTCATTTTCCTGCACTATCTCTTGGTTCATTTTGGACTGTCTTATCAGAAGGTCTTCATGATAAGCAAGGTTCAGCAGGAGTTTGCCATTGCAGAAGCTTTAGTGAGATCTCATCCAAGTGATCTGCACGTTTTTCTTTCCTTCAGATCAAACAAATTATCTATTCCTTAGATAATGCAGAGTATTGGGTCCCAAGTGCCCCCCCACTTGTAGAAATTCCAGGTGTGTGTGAGAGAAGATCCATACATGAGGAACAGAAATTTTTCTTTCCTTAAGATCAAACAAATTATCTATTCGTCAGATAATGCAGAGCATTGGGTCCCAAGTGCCCTCCCCACTTGTAGAAATTCCAGGTGTGTATGAGAGAAGATCCATACATGAGGAACAGAAAAAGATGATTGAGATGGTAAAGATGTGGTGAAGAGTAGTGCCAATGAAAGCTACACCGAAGTTGTAAAAGGGGAGTAGCACAAAAGCTGCTCTATCGAGGAAAGCATCAGGAAGGAAAATATCTATAGCACCTGATTGCCTGCCTCTGCCTAAGAATAGACCCTCTCCAAAAAGCTGATGATGGGCTGGTCTCCAGTAGAGGCAAACATTTAAGTGTTATAGATGTTTTCCTTCCTATTACTTTCTTCAGTGGAGCTGGAGGAAGGACAAGGCAGCACTGTGGTGCTCCTAATGACCAGAAGATAGACAAAGAGGAAGGTGAAGGCAAGCAGCAGCCATGGCCGCTTACTCTTAAAGCAGACAGGAAGGCTAAATAATTAATTAATTGATCTACCAAATTCAATCACTGAGCAGGAGCACCTCCTGGATCTCAGTCACGTGAGCTGCCTCCTAAGTTATGACTTCAGCGAGCTGTGAACTGAACATTTTACATCTCTGGTATGCAATAGGAATATTCCTGCAGTTACTCCTGTAGACGTGTCTGCCGATCACATTAATACTCATCCTGAAAATCCAACAAAGCTCATCACACCCGAGAAGAGCATAGTTAAGGAGCTGAAGGACCTGAGAATGACCACATCTAACAATGCCCAGTGTAATCAAGTCCCAATTCCACTTGAAGGAGGCACAATTTCACCTCCAAACACCCTACTGGAAATTAGGGACTCACTAAAGGAAATAAAAGACTTGTTAGGGCGGTTGTTTGCTCAAATGGAGGAAAGGGTTATTCCTTCTTTAGCCACTGCCACTGACCATACAGGAACATCTAATCAACCACTGTGGGCAAAAGCAGACGAAAACTTTAATTTATCACCTAATACCATGTGACCACTGTGGGCAGAAGCAGATGAAAATAATTTATCACCTAATACCATGCAAAAAATCATCAGCCTCACTTATGAAGAGCTCCTTTCCTCTGTCTCTCCAACAATCCAAGGGCAGGTCTTGCCCATCAGTTAGGACTCAGATAAAATGAAGGGGCCCTACCAACTCAAACCCCCCCACAATAAATCACCCCAAATACTCGCAAACACCAGCGAGGAACTGACGATGCCCCAAACAAAAAAGGACACCAAAGCTCCAAATAAACAAAGGACAACAAACTCTACAAAATTCACAACACAACCGAGCAGGAAGCTCAACAAGACCAATAAAGGCAAGAATGGTTCCAAACACCCCACCAAAAAAGGGCAGAAAATGCAGTTTAAACCCTTATTTCAAGTGTTAGATGCCTTGCAACATGACCTACAAAACAGAAACAATCAAGTCACTCGGTGGCAAGGAAATGGAAAGACAGATAAAGTGTCTCCAAAAGAAGGAAACCAACCACATAAGTGGCAAGGAAACGGAAAGACAGATGAAGTGTCTCCAAAAGAAGGAAAACAACCACATACTCTGAAAAAAGGGAAGAAAGACAAAATGCCCATAACAGAGAAGGGGGAAGCTTCTGCCCAAAAAAAGAGTCCAGCTATTAAACAGTCCTCAAACACTGCCAAATATATACCCGTCATTTAATAACCATATGGAGTCGTCATCAGGAAAGATGGTCAACAATGTACAAGTAGCTGTTGACGTTGGAAGGCAAATCCCAGTGCTGATACAAAATAGATATACAATTGCCAAAATGGGAAGGAGAACACATAGGAATCATCACACATGTATGCTAATACGTAGCATTATGCCAATAACCGAGCAAATGCGAAGTCAGACTGGCATCCTGTGGAGTTTAACCAGGCTAAGTACTAAGACCCATATCGATCCTGCTGGAACTATACAAGAACTAAGGAGAGATGTACCTGGAACTTCACCTACTGACCAAACAAGCACCAGAAAGTAGTTTAAATCCCCACCTTATAAAACCCAGCTGGATGTCACAGCCAACCCACTTATTTGGTTTGACAGTATTACATCTACAGGCTGCATCAGGGACCCAAAAGATAGTCCCAACCTCAAGGGCTGGTTATCTGAAAATCCTTTCTTGGAACACAGCTGGTTGGGCCTCCAGACTGAATGACCCAGGTATATTTGATTATCTCAGATCTCATGACATAATCGCTGTGCAAGAAACCTGGAGTATAGATGACATCAGCTTGAATGGTTAATTAGTGTTTAACAGTCCTGCAGCTCCTAGTAATGTGAAGGATTGGCCAAAGGCAGGGCTGGCCTTAGTGTTTTCTACCACCCTGAGGGCTCAGGTGAAATGGCTCTCACCTTGTGATAAAGCTGCAGTTGCAGGGCTACTTCTCACCCAGACGAACTCCTATTTGTTTATTAACATTTATATCCCCCATGTCTTCTTCCAAAGGTCAAATAACCCATATATGGAACCAATTGGAGTTCTATATTACTTATCTAGAATCCCTAGCACCTAAGGCACATGTAATACTTATGGGAGATCTGAATGCAATGATAGGACCAAATAATTATATCTTTTACTCCTCCAATCTTCGGGATGTGCTACCAGTAGAGTCTTACACCTTGAGGAATTATAGACCATCAAAAGACTTGACGACCAATTACAGTGGATTATGTTTGGCTCGAATGGCTGTACGCCTTTCTCTTCATATTATTAATGGCAATGATTTGTTTGATAACTGTGCAGAATTTCATTTCAGGGAGAGGAAGCAGTGTGGTAGATTATGTGTTAATTTCCCCATCTTTAGCCACTTCTGTTAAGGGATTCACAGTTGAACAAAGATTAGAAAGTGATCACCTGCCCTTATTTTTAACTATCACTCTCAAATACATCTTCCACCTGAGCCACACATAGATGACAATGTCCTATCCGTATGTTATAAACGTTTAATCTGGACAGACAAAGTAAATGACAATGTTTCCAATTTCTTAAATTCTTCATATGCTGAGAACTTAAGAAATTTAATAACAACACCCATGGAATCTACTATGGCCTCGGTTGTCTTCAACTATAACTCGCTGGTTCTAAAAACGCACTCTGTTAGAACCCCAAAACAACCTCACTTTCGTAGACAATTGGACAAGCTCACCCCTAAGTTGTTTGACAAGGAATGCTTATTTTTTTGGTTTCTGACTTCTCCCCACCCCATAGGAACGCATTAATTAAATTTCAATGCATTCCTATGGGAAAACGCGCTTCGTGAGATGAAATTTTTGCTAGACGGCATTAACCATGGAACAGATTAATTTCATCTTGCGAGGGACCACTGTACTGATGTTTCTAGATTGTACTGCCACTGAAATAAGCAAAATAAGCAAACCACTAAAAATATGACATACCTGCATGTTATGTTCACATACTTAGAGACCTACTATTTTCTTTACCACGCTGGAGACTTACTACTGTATTTTGTTCCATTGATATTTTGACACGTTGTAAAGTTTGTACAGTATAGTACAATATATTCACAAAAGCTTTCACGGCTGGGATCTAATGGTTGTTGTGGGTTTTTCAGGCTTTTTGGCCATGTTNNNTTGTTCTTCCTAATGTTTCGCCAGTCTCTATGGCCGGCATTTTCAGAGGACAGAGTGCTGTCCTCTGAAGATGCCAGCCACAGAGACTGGCGAAACATTAGGAAGAACAACCTTCAGAACATGGCCAAAGAGCCCGAAAAACCCACAACAACTTTGTACAGTACACTTGAATGACAGGTGGTGACTCAGCTTTCAGTCTAATTACAGAGTTCCTAGACTCATTTCAGTGTAGCTTGGTCCAGCTTTGGAGAGAAAGGGCTTATGTCAATAACATTCTTGTTCATTCTTCCAGAGTGGAGACCCTTTGACCCTCCAGATGTTTTGGCCTGCAACTTCCAGCAGGCCTATGCAGCATGGTCAATGTTAAGGAACTGTTGGAGATGGAGATCAAAGCATGTGGAACAAGGACAAAAGTCGTCACCAATGCCCTCAGCCTCTGAGTTGTGTTTGCTACTGATCAGTCAATCAATTACTATTTTCTTGATTGCCTACCTTCAGGACTATTTGTGAGCATTTCATTAGAGGTTTGGCTAAACCACTTTCTATATAGCACTCTCAAGTGTGATGAACAATTGAGGGGGAGTGCGAGAGCTCAAGCTCAGAATGTTGCTTTAAAAAAAGAAAATGGTACTTTAAAAGACAAAGAGAAAGTTAAATAATCTGTTGGGTTAGAGATTATTATATGGGGGTCTTGTGAGGTTTCACAGTAGTTTTAATCTGTAAACTAACATTATCAGTGTAATGCTAACATTAAAGGGGCGGTATTGAAATCAAATAAATAAATAATAATAGAATACAGTATAGTCATCTGGTAGCTGGAGACATCTGTGACAGAATTTTTGGAATGAGGCACCCATCAGAGCTTGAACTTTGATAAAACAAGGACAAATGGTGATACGAGGTTTTTTTTACTTTGAAGCAGAAGAGAAACAGGTCATTTAAAATATTAAAGATCCAGGCCCTCCTGCTAAGTGAAAACTAGGATGCAGTGGGAGAGCTGTTGTGCAGAGAATTGATGTTGGGAAACTGCTATTTGCTGTGTAGTGGGTCTTACTTGCCTCAACTACAGTCTGCTTCTATATTTGGAAATAAATGTCCCAGGACATTTTAAGGAACCGTTGCTTACACCTAAAGGAAAGCTGAAACTGTCTCTCCAATCTCTTTTCATTTAAAAAAAAAGGAAACTGAAGTTACAAACAGCCTAAATGCAAACCCTTTGCTATGGGTTTGATCTCACTGTACATTGGCTATCAGCAGACATTCGGAAAAACAAATACCCCAAATCTTACTGGACAAAGATTGATGTGGACACCCACTGTGGATACACGGGTTTTCAAATGGATTTTCTGTATGTGGGTTTTATGGCGGTGAGTTAGCCCTGAAAGTTGTAAAATATATGAGTTTCTTTGAGGGGGACAGAGAGAAATGTCCCCCACAATGTTGCGCGTGCCCTTTCCCTTTAACAAGCCCCGCTCTTTAAATAATTTAACATCAACTTTCTAAATTATGAAATTATCGCGCCCGGTGATTTGACACAAACCTTTGGCCTGCCAGCTGCAAAAGGCAAGATGGCTGCCATCAAAAAACCCCGAACTCGCCGCTGAGGGCCACGTGATCCGCGCGCTCCCTCGGTCTCCGGGGCTCCGGCGGGAAAGACCGGGAGCAGTCAAGGAGCCCCGGCGAAGGAGGCGTCTTAATCTCGGTGCGGACCAAGGTGTGGGGGAGTTGCCCGTGCAGTTAGCTCTGCAGTTCGGGAAGTAAGGCAAGGCGG